TAGAATGTGCACGGTGCACATGTAGCATGAGAGATAGTCACATAAATATTAGTAAATAAATTCTTTCTCTCCTTATTTGAATTATTTTACACAGTTTTGGTAAGTTTTTCTCCATAATGTCAAGGAGACTGTATAGATGTGTTGACATTGCAGTTGACATTGCAGGGAAAAACATACCAAAATAGTATAAAATCATTCAAATAAAGAGAGAGATAATTTATTTGCTAATATTTATGTAGTTATCTCTCATTTCACATGTGCACCATGCACATTCTACCCTTGGAGATGCTCTAAATTATTAAAGGAAGAAGATTAGCACAGTTAAAAGTTATGGGGGTGTATTTATAAATATTAAAAATACAATTTTTTTTTATAAAAAGAATAGACATATATTATCGTCTGACGTCTACTCATTCATGACATTGAAGCATTTTACATTTTCAAGATACTTAGAACTAAGTTCTTATTTTATCTCATATACATCACTAGTGTACCTCGAAATATAAATATAGTCAATAAGTCATTATTTAGAATGAGACATAACTAGTGTACCTCGAAATATAAATACAGTTTTGAAATTAAAAGTGTTGGTACTCAAAGTTCTAGAATAATGAAGATAGAAAAAAATATTTTAAAAGTTCTAATACTCCCTCCGTATTTTAAAGTTGTCTACATTAGGTTTGGGCACAACATTTAAAGGGATGATAATAGGGATAATGAATAGCGTAGAAAAAGTAGGAGAGAAGTTGTAAAAGTATAAAAGAGAAGATAAAAAGTAGAAAAAAGTAAGGGTAGTTGAGTATTTTTAAAGGGAAAATTTACCAAAAAGAGAAAGTGTAGCAAACTTTTAAATACATCCGAAAAAAGAAAGTGTAGCAAACTTTAAAATACGGAGGAAGTACATATTTCCGTTGAAGCTATTAATTTATAGGTAGGCCTGGGACCGGTTCGCTTCCTAGGCAAAATAAGTGAAACCGTTTGAAAATATGAAATTTAATAACGGTTTGGTTCTTATAAATTATTTTATAGAACTGATAAGGAACCGAACCGTTCTTAACGGTTCGGTTCTTGTCATTTAACGGTTCATAGTCTTTGAAAAAAATCTTACAAATCATGACTAAATTTTTGTCAAAAAGACATTCAACGTTTGAAATTACAAAATAAATATGTTGAACCAGTTAAAGAGAATAATAATTTTAAATAGTTTGGACCTTCTGAGTTCCGACCCGCTCGAGTTTGGACCTAATGAGAGGCCTAAGAAGCCTAAGAGAACCGGTTGAAGTGAATAATAGTTTTAAATAGTTGAATAACTAAACTAAAATAATGAATGTAATATAAAAATAAATAAGTAAATATACATAAAATATATATACTCGTAAGAAATATATATAATTTTAATTATTATATATAACGGTTACTTAACGGTTCCTAGTACATATTTTTTTCAGGAACCGAGAACCGAACCGTTAATAAAAAATAGGAACCGAACCGTTAACAAATAACTAATAAATGTTGGAACCGAACCGGGCCATAACGGTTCGGTCCGATTCGGTTCTTCGGTTCTTGGTTCCAAAGTCCCAGCCCTATTTATAGGGATAATTAAAATTAGGGATAGGAGGATGGGTGAATTAGGAATAGGCCCATTAGTTGCGTACCACATAAAAGCAAGGTAAAAATTATTTCTAGTTTTTCCTTTTTAAGAATTATATTATGTAAATTTTGAGTGTTTAAAAAGAAAATGGAAGATTTTTTTTAACAAGTTGATACGGGTGTCCGTCAGGATACGAGTATCCGAAATTTTAAAATAATTACCAAAAAAATGAAAACTTTTAAAAATTGCTGATACGGCTCGGAAACATACGATACGGGTATCCTAGAGTATCGGATACGGGAACGTTTCCGATACGTCAATACGGCACCTTAGTGAAGTATCCGTGCTTCATAGCTTTTCACCGATTTGTTCGATGTCACTTGGTTTACACATTAGACCACTTTGTATAAGGATGTTTTCTTTTGGACTGTTTTCAGTCCCAGACCAGATCAGACCAGACTTAAATAGACCAGAACAGACCAGACCAGAACAGACCAGATCATACCAAACGTAAACAGACCAGACCAGACCAGACTTCCGTAGTTATAAAATACACAGAGACCAGACATTTACTAGACCAGACCAGTTCAGACCAGACCAGACTTAAACAGACCAGATCAGACCAGACCAGCAAATTTCAGTCCAAAAGAAAACATCCTAAATAGATCATATTTTCTCTTCTTAATTCCTATGAGATAATCTAACACAATAAACGTAATGTGAAGAATTGTTTTTTGGAGAAAATGTATTTTCTTTTAACTAATCAGCCTTATCAATCAATTTTTTTTATCAAATGTATTGCTTTTTATTTCGCAACTGCCTTATCTGATAAGTTTTTATTTAAGTAATATTTTTTGTAAAAACCCCTTTTTATTCTTATGGTTTTTTACAAAAATATTACTAAAATAAAAAAACTTATTTACACAAATATGACTATTAGTTACTAACTTACTACAATGTGGTGTCACATTAACTTAAGTTTAAAAATTGAACATAAGTTACTATGATTTCAATACTGCTATAGTCATTAATCACATTTTTTAAAATAGTCTTCATTTTATTCATAAATATGTAATTATTTCTAATAAAAATAAATAAGGTTGCAATAACTTTTGTGGCTGAATTGATTGGAGTAATTGTGGATGATCAATTTAGCTATTTTTATATGACTTTTTCTTAGCTATTTAGTTATAATTCGACATGTTCGGTCACATCAGACAGAATTTCATTAAATTCTACAGATTCGGGTAATTCACTCAATTTCAGTGTTACCAAATGTGTTCTACGTTGGATTTAGTTATAATTCGACATGTTCGGTCACATCAGACGAAATTTCATTAAATTCTACAGATTCGGGTAATTCACTCAATTTCAGTGTTACCAAATGTGTTCTACGTTGGACTAGGTCAAACCATACCAGACTGAAACTTACATTTTATCAAACATATAACTTTTAATTTTGCACGCTGAATTGTGTGATATTCAAAATAAGTAAGGTCGGAATTACTTCTCTGATTGAATTGCCTGAAGTTACCTTGAAGTACCATTTCATATATTTTCACATATTTTTTCTTTATTTTTAAATTGAATATGTCTTAAATATAATTTTTCATATTTAGCAAATTCAACCAACTTGAGTGTTTCCGAACGAGCCCTTAATAGTACTCCCTCCGTCCTTCATGCATGGTGTCGGGCTTCCTTTTTTGTTTGTCTAAAAAACTTTGTCACTTCTTCTAATCAATTAATTTGTTGCTCCTGTTATTTCTCTTCTCTACACAAAACTCTACCACATAGTTTTTTCTTTATTACTCTATGTGCCGATCACATTTGTCAAACCTTTAAGGGATGGGGGGAGTATTATTTTTTGTCCTTTTAAACTCGAGAGAAAAAACCGAAAATTCTTTTGAATGCTTCTATAATTTATTTATGACTAATAAAAAGCAATTCTACAAAATAAAAATTTTATTTTCAAAATAAATTAATAATATTTATTAATTTCATCAATTTTTAAGTTCAATGAAATCCCGAAAAGTAATACTCCCTCCGTCTCATTTTACTTAGCCAAACTTGACTATTCAAATCAATGGCGTCTAACTTTGACCGATTTTATTTTTATATAGAAAAAGTATTTATAATATGAAAATGGTATGAAAATGTTCATTTTAAAAATACTATCATAAAAGTATAAAATTATTAAATTTTACATAAATATATTAATTGAAATAATTGGTCAAAGTTTACCATCTCTGACTGGAAAAGTCAAAGATGGCTAAGTAAATTGGGACGCATATATATAGTAATATCCCATATATATAAAATATTTAGAAAAAAGAATTTAAAAAGACAGAAATTTAAAAATGTTAGGCGATAAAAGATGTGTAGCATGAGTGGTGCCATAGACAATTAAAAACAAAAGATTCTTTTTACGCTTAGCTTATTACTTGCATAGTTGCACATTATAGATTAAAGTTTAATACAGAGTAAAAACAAAGATGAAGGGTCAATCTGTCTATAAAAGTTAGATTAAGTAAATTAGGGGTGCGCAAAGCAGCCCCTAAATTAAAGAGGTGTGACACTCTGACATGCCGTCCATGCAATGAAAAAATGACGCATGATTTTCTCCTTCTCTTTTGATAACCAAGAGATCAAATTTTTGACATTTTGTTTCTCCTCTCATGGTCTTATGTATTTCTGATTTTTATATATGTGTTTTTGAACAATATCAAGCAGAATATCTACTTATACACATTGTGAGGAAAAATTTATAAAATATATATATAATCGTTCAAATAAGAAGAGATATATTTTATTTATTACTTTTTATTTGTCTATCTCTCATGCCACGTACTTATGCATCATTCACGTTTTTATTGAGATACTCTGAACAAAAGGAAAAGAATGTACAAAATTAGGACCCAAAATATAGTATGAAAAGGGTCAAATAAGCCATTTTAGTATTTGCATCCATCACTTTGGCCTATGTATTAAAAAATTGGTCAATTTGACCATTTACTCAGTTTTTGCTTGTAATAGCATGTTTTTATTTAAAAATACTTTAAAAATTGTTAAAAATTTGAAGAAATATAGATGAAAATTGTGAATACTTTCAACTGTCAAAGTCAGTATTTTAAATTTTTGAAATATTTATATATTTTATATCTATTTAAAAGGTTTCTAAATTTTATATTTTATATTTTTACATTTTCACTTTATTTGTTCAGTTTTCTAATTTTTTATTTTATTTTAACGTTTTTACACCATTTACCAATTTTTACAATTATGCTTTTTAATATTATTATAACATTATTTTTCAAATTTATACAAATGTTTATAAGTTATATCACCCTAATTTATTGTTTTTAAAAATAATAATAATCTGTTATAGCAGATCAAAATGACTCGATTAATTGTTGATGTACTCCTAATTTACCATATTTATGATCGTGTTTTGTCACACTTTTAATACTTTATTTCTCATTTTTAAATAAAAAAGATTGATCTTTATCATCTTGGACATTTTAAGGTATTGCACTTGTTTTGGTATATTTTTGAGTTTCAGGATAATTCGGGATGTATATTAATTTCTGAAAAGAAAATAAATATTACTCCCGAGTGAAGACGGAAAAATCATCAAAGTGAAGCGAGTCCTTACTTTATCTCCGAAATATTTATACAGAGACCCGAAGTTCATTTCAGAATAAACCAGACTGTCTACAATAAAATGTACCGGTTAACTATTTGACCAGTTAACTGATCAAACAGCTAACCGGCCAAAACAACAAATGCCCGAAAAGAGCCAAAGTCTGGCTGACAGGCTGAGTGGGTGATTACATGATATGTTACATTATCCACTCATGATGTATGAAGCTCCACCGTAGAAATAAACTCCAAAGAAGAAACACAAAGGAGGACATTGTATTGAATTATTGATGGAGCCTGAAGAGACTGGCGAACTACTGCAATTGTCTTCATCACCTTTCACTCTGCAATCAAAGAGATCGAGAACAACAGCAAACGAAGAAAAATAATACACGATGAACAGGAGAGTTACTATTTGCAGAAAAATATCAAGAGCGGCGATCAAATCTGATGAAGACTGAAGTAATAATACTGCAATATTTATTTTTCAGCACCTTCATCTCAGGATTATTGATGCTCCAGCCCCTTCTCCTGCTGCTATATAAAGGGCTCATTCAGGAGCTTCAAAAAAAAGACACACCAATTAGGAGAGAAATCTCCCTCTTCTTTCTTTAGCTTTGTTCATAGTAGTAGCAATAAAATAAAAGTGATTCTTTCAGGAACACTTTCTGTAAAAATTCAGTTTGTAATTTTCATTCCAGAATTTCAGTTCTATATATTTCAACAATAAAGTTCATTTGGAGATATCAGTTCGAAGTTAATCAGTTTCAGCTTAATCTGAGGATTTCAATCTTTTCTGTTCCAGCTCTTCTATGTTCTTGAATATTTATGCCTTCAGGTTCTTATTTAAACACTCACTTTAATTTCTTTAATCTGTTAATTTAATTATGCCTAGCATGAATTTTACTCTTAATTTGTTTACTATAATTATGTGTAACTAAATTAGTTTAGGCTTGGGCAAGATGTAAATTTTACTGTTAATGTTCATATGATAATAATTGGTTAAAACTTTTACTTGGTTAATTTTAGGGGTGTTGGGTTGAATGTTCTAATCTGCTAAATACATTATATTGGGAAATGAATATTATCACGGGAGTGAAGTTTCATTAAAAATCCTTTTAGTTAACTCACCCACTAAATTGCTACACGGAAGTGTTAAGGAATTTAGGATAATTTGATTTTGTACTTTTTACTGTCTTAATAAAATTACCGCGGGAGCGGAATTAATTTAAGATAGTGTAATCAACTAAGTCGTGGGAACGATTAGAAGATGACCATTTGAAAATCTTTCACACACCTAAAAGTAACCAAGTTAATCAGTTAAATCTTTATTATTATGAACATGAAAATAAAATTACTCTTAGCCCAAGCCTAATTTTCACTATATCATTAATTGTTAAATTATCAAGTATTGTGATTTATTTTATTTCCTAGCAATTTCACATTTATAAAAACAAGATAAAAAATCTGTTCACTTAGCTCCATTGCAAAATGTTATCAATTTTTGATTAGCTAAAAATCAATCATTAATTCTAGTTCTCTTTTTGAGCCATTCTCTAGCGGAACGATACTCACTTACTCTATACTATATCGTTACAAGCCAATTAAAACATCATTTCCATTCACATTTTTACACCATTTCACACTACACATTTTGGCATGTCACGATTTTGGCGCCGTTGCCGGGGAATGGCATAGTTTTATTGATTGATTATTAGTTAATATTAGTGTTTGTTTTTATTTATTTGGAGACTAAGTGTTTTTATTTCCTGTTATCATCACTTGTTTTTAGTTTCCAATTGTAAAAAAAAAAAAATAGTGTATGCATACTCGCTCTCAAGGGAGTGAAGGATTGCAACCACTTAACCTTGATTTTGAAAAAGAATTAAGGAAAAGAAGAAAGGCCCAAATCCTTGAACTTAAAATTCCAAATCAGATCATGGAGGACCTTCACAACAATCCCAATAATCCAAATAGCCAAAACCAAATTTCAAATCCAAATCCAAATCCTACGCCACCACAAAATACCCCTATAAATACACCCATTGATACTCCTAGAGATAGACATAATCCTTTCTTTGGAGATCAAAGACCCCCTGGATTTGAAAATTTCCAACAAATTCCTCCCCAAACACAACCCCAATTTTATCCACCACATCCCTACCAAAATCACCAAAACCAACCTCCACCATATCCATATACATATCCTTATCCTTACCCACCTCCTCCATTTATACACCCATATCAACCTCACCCATATGGCCAATACTACCAACACCCACATAATCAACAAGGTCAAGGGCAGTTCATGAGACAACAACAACAGCAAGGAAGAAGACTTCTTGATTATGTTGCAGGTGAAATTGAGGAACAAGATAGCATTCTATATCCAGGTGTGGATGCAGCAAATTTTGAGATCAAACCAGCACTTATCTCATTGGTCTCAGCCAACAAATTTGGCGGATCAAAGAATGAAGATCCGACGAGCCATGTGAAACAATTCTTGAGAGTTCTCCAAACTCTGAAACTTAATGGAGCCTCTGTTGATGCCATCAGACTCAGATTGTTCCCATTCTCACTGAGGGATGAAGCATTGAGTTGGTTGAACTCTAAACCATCCGGTTATTTCAACACATGGGAGAAGTTGCATAGAGATTTCATGAAGGAGTTCTATCCTCCTTCTAAGGCATCAAAAATGAAGAAACTGATCCAACAATTCAGACAACAACCATCAGAATCTCTTTATGAATCATGGAAGAGATTTAAAGATCTTCAAGTTCAATATCCACATCATAATATGAGCATGGGTGATCTCATTGTCTCATTTTATGAGGGATTACAAGATAATTCCAAAATTGTTGTTGATGCCTCTGCTAATGGAGCTTTCATGGAGCTTGATCCCGAAACAGGCAAAGAGATGCTTGAAAAAATTTGCAACAACAGTGCATCATGGTATTCTGAAAGATCCACTCAAAAGCTAGGAGCAGGAATTTATGAGGTTGACCAAACAACAGCTTTAACAGCAAAGGTTGATTCTCTCACAACCATGGTTCAAAAGCTCACTGAGAAGCAATCATCATCAACTTCTAGCGCAGCAACAAATCCATCATCATCTGTAGCTCAAGCTTTGTTCTGTGAACTCTGTGGGGGAGGGCATTCTTTTAAAGAATGTAATTTTCTTGAACTTACACAAAATGTTCCTTTTAGCCCCACAGTAGAACAAGCTGATGCTATATATGGTAGACCTCAAGTACCATATCAAGGAAACTATAATCCTCAAGGGAAGACACATCCAGGATTTTCATGGAGTAATTCATCAGGTGCAGCAAATCCATCTTTTCCATCCAAACCAACACCTCCTGGATTTCAAAATCAGCAAGGATTCAGAGGAAACCAAAACAACCAACAATTGAGGGGAAATCAAGGGTACCAAAATCCTCAAGGTTATCCACCGCAACAACAATTGCCACCACCACCACAACAACAACAATTCGTTGGAGTTAATGATTTCCAACAGATGATGCAAGGAATTACTAATCAATTCTCTCAACTCACAACTCAACTCAATCAAATTCAAGCTCACAACAAAATGTTAGAGAGCCAAATTGCTAGTTTTGCTTCACCATCAACTAGCAAAGCTCAAGGAAAGTTGCCTGCCTACTCTGAACATCCCAAGGAGAATGTCAATGCAGTCACTACAAGGAGTGGAAAACAACTTTCTGATCCACCACTTATAGTTGAGAAAGAAAAGATTCCTGAAAAGGAGGCTTCACCATCAAAGGAAAATAATGAAGAAGATCTTACTTCTTCTGCAAATGAAGGTTTAAAAAAGGTAGTGCAACCATATGCTCCACCTTTACCATTTCCTCACAGAGCAAAGAAGAACACAATTGATGAGAGGAGGGATAAATTCCTTAAATGGATCGGTGAGTTGAACACAACAATCCCGCTTCTTGATGCTCTGAAACATATGCCTTCATATTCCAAATTTCTGAAGGAAATTTTGTCAAACAAAAAGAAGTTCGAGGAGAAAGCTACAATAGCCATGAGCGAGGGATCCAGTGCTATCATTCAGAAGAAACTTCCAGAAAAATTGAAGGATCCAGGTAGCTTTACTATACCATGCATAATTGGAGGGTTCATGGTCAACAAAGCTTTATGCGACCTTGGGGCTAGTGTTAGCCTTATCCCTTATTCTATGAGCAAGCGCCTTAGTCTTGGTATTCCCAAGGCTACTTCAATGACCATTCAGCTTGCTGACCGATCTGTTAAGCACCCTGTTGGTGTTCTTGAAGACATTCCTGTACAGGTTGGGAAATATTTCATCCCTTGTGACTTTGTCGTCCTAGACATGGATGAAGATGAACGAGTACCTGTCATATTGGGAAGACCTTTCTTGGCCACTGCCGGTGCCATCATTGATGTTAAAAAAGGTACGTTAATAATTGAAGTGGGGGATGAAAGGGTTGAATTCAATATTTTCCAAATGGCGAGAAATCCTGCATGTGTGGAAGATTGTTGGAGGGTTGATATAGTTGATGAATGTGTGAGAGACTTCATGGGATTCTTTCACAATGATCCTATGGAAGTTTATGATGTGGAGGAAATTAAAAATAATCATGAGGGAGAAGAGTTAGTTGAGTGTGTAAAAAACAAAGAGAGTTGTAAAAAGAATCATGAGGGGGAGGAAGTGGAGAAACTGGTGAGAGAAGAATTGAGGGAGGCTAACAACACAAAAGAACCACCCAAAGTTGAGTTGAAGCCTTTACCATCATACCTAAGATATGCTTATCTTGGTGAAAACTCCACTTACCCAGTGATTATTAGCACTAAGTTGAACGGGGAGGAAGTAGACAAACTATTGACCTTGCTGAGAAAACACAAACGGATCATTGGATACTCCATTGATGATCTAATTGGCATCAGTGCTAACTATTGTATGCACAGAATATATCTTGAGGAAGGTTGCAAACCAGTGGTTGAACATCAAAGGAGGCTCAACCCTAACATGAAGGATGTTGTGAAGAAAGAAGTTATCAAACTTCTTGATGCCGGAATCATTTACCCTATCTCGGACAGCAGATGGGTAAGTCCAATCCATGTTGTACCAAAGAAAGGAGGTTTCACAGTTGTTCCAAATGAGCACAATGAGCTCATTCCTACTCGTTTGGTCACGGGATGGAGAATGTGCATCGATTACAGGAGGCTGAACAAAGTCACAAATAAGGATCATTATCCTTTACCTTTCATTGATCAGTTGCTTGAAAGGATGGCAAACCATAGCCATTATTGCTTTCTAGATGGATTCTCAGGATATTTTCAAATCATGATCCATCCAGATGATCAAGAAAAGACTACCTTCACGTGTGCCTATGGTACATTTGCTTTTCGAAGAATGTCATTTGGCCTATGTAATGCACCCGGAACTTTCCAACGATGTATGATGGCCATATTCTCAGATCTTATTGAAGAAATCATGGAGGTATTCATGGATGATTTCTCTGTTTATGGGACCTCATTTGGTTCGTGCTTGGATAATCTTGATAAAGCACTGACTCGTTGCCAAGAGGCAAATCTTGTTCTAAACTGGGAGAAGTGCCATTTCATGGTAACAGAGGGAATTGTTCTTGGTCATAAGATTTCATCTAAAGGCATTGAAGTGGATCCAGCAAAGATCGAGGTGATCGAGAAGTTACCACCGCCAACATCTATTAAAGGCATCCGAAGTTTTCTAGGGCACGCCGGATTCTATCGGCGATTCATCAAGGATTTTGCTAAAATTGCAAAACCACTCACAAGACTCCTGTCCAAAGAGGTTGAGTTTATCTTTGACGATGCTTGTCTTAATTCCTTTTGCAAAATTAAGAAAGCATTATGTTCTGCACCTGTCATTCAACCACCAAATTGGAGCATGCCTTTCATCCTAATGTGCGATGCCAGTGACTATGCTGTAGGAGCCATGTTGGGACAGAAACAAGGCCGGTGCATACATGCAATTTATTATGCAAGCCATACTCTCGATGATGCCCAACAAAACTATGCCACAACAGAAAAAGAACTACTCGCTGTTGTCTTTGCAATAGAGAAGTTCAGGTCATATCTTGTTGGAAGCAAAGTGATAGTCTACACTGATCACTCGGCTCTAAAGTACCTGTTTGCGAAGAAGGAGGCCAAGCCACGACTTATTAGATGGGTGTTGCTACTACAGGAGTTTGATATTGAGATCCTTGACAAAAAAGGGTCTGAAAATGTCATTGCTGATCACCTGTCCAGAATTGAGCCACACACAGAAAATGAAGCGACCAAAGTGTTACCCATTGATGATTCATTCACGGGAGAATATTTACTCTCAATCAAGCACTTTTCTCCTTGGTATGCTGATTGGGTTAATTACCTTGTCAGTGGTTATATTCCTTCTGAATTCTCATGGTCCCAAAAGAAAAAGTTCTTACATGATGCTCGCTCTTATTTTTGGGATGAACCACTATTGTTCAAGAGATGTGCTGATGGGATTGTTCGAAGATGCATCCCAGAAGATGAATTTGAGGCTATCCTTTATCATTGTCATTCATCACCATATGGTGGTCATTTCGGATCCACAAGGACTTCAGCTAAAGTCCTACAGTCAGGTTTCTATTGGCCTACATTGTTCAAAGATTCTCAAATGTATGTGAAAAGATGTGATCGATGCCAACGCACAGGATCTATTGGCCGTCGAAATGAAATGCCGCAATCCGGAATACTTGAAGTTGAACTCTTCGATGTATGGGGAATGGACTTTATGGGACCATTTCCCAGCTCATGTGGCAATTCTTACATTCTTGTGGCTGTGGACTATGTCTCGAAATGGATTGAAGCGATTGCTAGTCCAACCAATGATTCCACGGTTGTGATCCGATTTGTAAAGAAATTTATTTTCTCAAGGTTTGGAGTTCCCAGGGCCTTCATCACAGATAATGGTACACACTTTTGCAATAAACAACTTGAGAAACTTTTGCTCAAGTATGGTGTTAATCACAAAGTGTCTACTCCGTACCATGCACAAACTAGTGGCCAAGTTGAACTCTCAAATAGGGAAATTAAATCAGTCCTTGAGAAAGTTGTAAATCCCACAAGGAAAGATTGGTCCCTCCGATTAGATGATGCTTTATGGGCCTATCGTACTGCATATAAGACTCCCATTGGGACATCGCCGTTCAAATTGGTGTATGGGAAGTCTTGTCACTTACCAGTGGAGATTGAACACAAAGCATTTTGGGCTATCCAAAGCCTAAACCTTGACTACACTTTGGCAGGGAAAAAGAGGCTATTACAATTGAATGAACTTGAAGAATTCAGACTTGATGCCTTTGAGAATGCCCGACTTTACAAGGAAAGAGCAAAGAAATGGCATGACGGAAGAATCCTTAGGAGAGACTTTTCTCCTGGGGATAGTGTGCTACTATTCAACTCAAGGCTGAAACTCTTTCCAGGAAAGCTGAAATCAAAATGGTCTGGACCTTTCAAAGTTATCAAAGCCTTTCCATCTGGGGCAATCATTCTGGAGGCCAATGATGGGAGACAATTCACTGTCAATGGCCAAAGAGTTAAGCAATACCATGAAGGAGATGACACAAAGGAGAAACTCACTGTTCATCTGGATGATCCTCCTTACGAGTAAACCACCCAGGTAATGTCGGGCACACGACGTTAAAAATAGCGCTTCTTGGGAGGCAACCCAAGCTTATTTACTTGCATTTGAATGTGTGTTTTGCTTGTGTGTTTGCATTGAATAATTTTATTTTCCCACCCATTTACTCATCCACCTTGTATATATTTGTCACATCGAGGACGATGTTTCATCCTAAGTGTGGGGGAAGAATATGCATGTTTGTTTGTTTGTGAATTGCCTTATCATCAGTATAACGTTCAAATCATGCATTCTATTCTTTCACATGATATGTGGATTGTTGGCTGGACTTGTCTCTTAATATTTGGATTGAGAATCATAATTTTTGAGCGTTGAGTAAAATTTTGGTCAAATTTTAAACTTTGTACAAACACAAAACATCTCATGCATGTAAATGGTTATCTAGTGAAACTGTTGTTCAATATGTTTAAGATTGTGTAAAACAAGAGTGCTATGTGCTTTTATTTTCCTTGACATGATTTTCTGACTTGGCACATTAGGAAATGATATAGGCCATTTTTCATAAACCCATATACCTAGCCTTACCCATGTGATAAATATCCCTTGTTCAACCCCTTTGAGCCATTTTTTTTATAAGCGTTATACGCTTAACCCTGCTTTTCTTATTTTCTTTCATAAAAACCTGTTATATGTGACCCTTAGCCTAAAAGCCAAACACTTTCCAACCACCCTAGAATGAATTTGCATTAATTTTAATGAGTTTAGAGAGTGTCATTCACATTTAGGGAGCTTTAATAATTACACTTTTGTGATTACTTAGTTGTTAATATTCATTTATAGGGGTAGTTGTTCTTGTTGTATCATCATTGTACATATTGTTCTTGTAAATTCTTATGATTAGAAGCATTAAAAAGCCTTGAAAAAAAAAAAACAAAAAAAAAAAAACAAAAACAAAAAAAAAGTCAAAAAAAAAAAAACAGAAAAAAAGGAAAATGAAAAAAAAAAGAATAAAAAAAAAAAAAATCTAAACAAGGCTAATTATCCATGTATATGCTTCTCTCTTTTGTATATTTTTCTTGTACATTAATTTACTCTTTTACTAGTTACTACCCCTAACTGTTAAAAAAATAACAAGTGTTGTATAGATTATTGCCAAAAGCTCCTACTCACTACTTAGTACCTCTCTAAATTTGTTAAATTTATGTCAAGTTCATTTCTTTTGTTTCCTCATTAATTCCCTTTGTTCGTAAGCCTATCCCACAGACCCCATTATAACCCTATGTGAAAGTCCTAACTGATCCTAATTGTGTTTTGTCTGAACTAAGTTGATAGGAAAATCTTATTTTGCATAATTTTGCATGATTGAAAAAAATGAAGCTAGATTCCATCTTCACACCACACACTTTGTGTTTGTTAGAGTTGAGATTTGACCAAAACGTTTCAAATGATATGCAAAATATTTTTATGATTCTCACTTCTCTTATTTTGTGACAAGTCAAGGGAATTTGATTGACCAGGTGGAATGAAAGTAAAGTGTGCATGATTTGAGGATTACACATATGATTGGGCAATTCATTTTTGCATGCTCGTTTGCTTGTGTGAAATGTAAATATTTTTGCTTGAGGACAAGCAAAATCTTAAGTATGGGGGAGTTGATGTACTCCTAATTTACCATATTTATGATCGTGTTTTGTCACACTTTTAATACTTTATTTCTCATTTTTAAATAAAAAAGATTGATCTTTATCATCTTGGACATTTTAAGGTATTGCACTTGTTTTGGTATATTTTTGAGTTTCAGGATAATTCGGGATGTATATTAATTTCTGAAAAGAAAATAAATATTACTCCCGAGTGAAGACGGAAAAATCATCAAAGTGAAGCGAGTCCTTACTTTATCTCCGAAATATTTATACAGAGACCCGAAGTTCATTTCAGAATAAACCAGACTGTCTACAATAAAATGTACCGGTTAACTATTTGACCAGTTAACTGATCAAACAGCTAACCGGCCAAAACAACAAATGCCCGAAAAGAGCCAAAGTCTGGCTGACAGGCTGAGTGGGTGATTACATGATATGTTACATTATCCACTCATGATGTATGAAGCTCCACCGTAGAAATAAACTCCAAAGAAGAAACACAAAGGAGGACATTGTATTGAATTATTGATGGAGCCTGAAGAGACTGGCGAACTACTGCAATTGTCTTCATCACCTTTCACTCTGCAATCAAAGAGATCGAGAACAACAGCAAACGAAGAAAAATAATACACGATGAACAGGAGAGTTACTATTTGCAGAAAAATATCAAGAGCGGCGATCAAATCTGATGAAGACTGAAGTAATAATACTGCAATATTTATTTTTCAGCACCTTCATCTCAGGATTATTGATGCTCCAGCCCCTTCTCCTGCTGCTATATAAAGGGCTCATTCAGGAGCTTCAAAAAAAAGACACACCAATTAGGAGAGAAATCTCCCTCTTCTTTCTTTAGCTTTGTTCATAGTAGTAGCAATAAAATAAAAGTGATTCTTTCAGGAACACTTTCTGTAAAAATTCAGTTTGTAATTTTCATTCCAGAATTTCAGTTCTATATATTTCAACAATAAAGTTCATTTGGAGATATCAGTTCGAAGTTAATCAGTTTCAGCTTAATCTGAGGATTTCAATCTTTTCTGTTCCAGCTCTTCTATGTTCTTGAATATTTATGCCTTCAGGTTCTTATTTAAACACTCACTTTAATTTCTTTAATCTGTTAATTTAATTATGCCTAGCATGAATTTTACTCTTAATTTGTTTACTATAATTATGTGTAACTAAATTAGTTTAGGCTTGGGCAAGATGTAAATTTTACTGTTAATGTTCATATGATAATAATTGGTTAAAACTTTTACTTGGTTAATTTTAGGGGTGTTGGGTTGAATGTTCTAATCTGCTAAATACATTATATTGGGAAATGAATATTATCACGGGAGTGAAGTTTCATTAAAAATCCTTTTAGTTAACTCACCCACTAAATTGCTACACGGAAGTGTTAAGGAATTTAGGATAATTTGATTTTGTACTTTTTACTGTCTTAATAAAATTACCGCGGGAGCGGAATTAATTTAAGATAGTGTAATCAACTAAGTCGTGGGAACGATTAGAAGATGACCATTTGAAAATCTTTCACACACCTAAAAGTAACCAAGTTAATCAGTTAAATCTTTATTATTATGAACATGAAAATAAAATTACTCTTAGCCCAAGCCTAATTTTCACTATATCATTAATTGTTAAATTATCAAGTATTGTGATTTATTTTATTTCCTAGCAATTTCACATTTATAAAAACAAGATAAAAAATCTGTTCACTTAGCTCCATTGCAAAATGTTATCAATTTTTGATTAGCTAAAAATCAATCATTAATTCTAGTTCTCTTTTTGAGCCATTCTCTAGCGGAACGATACTCACTTACTCTATACTATATCGTTACAAGCCAATTAAAACATCATTTCCATTCACATTTTTACACCATTTCACACTACACATTTTGGCATGTCAATTGTATGTAAAAAGCAAGTGTACTTATATATATGATGTTTTTTATAAGTAGAAGGACTTATGGGATGCATTAGAAATAGCAGAGTCCTTTAATGAATTCGGGGGCCTCGGTTTCAACTTTCAAATGTATAACCGAGGACCCACATTATTATAAAAAAAAATTAAAAACAATCTCAATCTAAAATTTATGGCTCGTTCGGTAGTTTACACGTTAAATCTTTGTGCGCGAAGTGATTGCATGCAAAGTATATGGAAGCAATCATTTTGCATGTAAAATAGATTACATTGTTTGGCTAGATATTTAATTTATTTTTAAATTGGGGATATTATCGGAAATAGAACTAAAAAGGTTTGAAAATTCCAAAATAGGACTGACATGTTTTTATTCCCAAAATAAGACTAATTACTGTCATGTTTTGGCAGTACCAGACTTCAAACATGGCAGTATTTTCCAATCTTGGCAGTAATTACTCCTATTTTGGGAATAAAAAACATGTCAGTCCTATTTTGGAATTTTCAAACTGTTTTAGTCCTATTTCAGGAACTTTCCCTTTAAATTGCATGCAAAGTCGTTGAGTTCTTCATAAAAGGCATGCAAAGTATTTTACCACTCTCCCCCACGTAAAATATTTTACATGATACAGTGTGAAATGATTTAAAAAAGTGCCCTATAGTTTGCATTAAATAATAAAACCAAACAGTGTAAACATTTTACGTCCTTACACTTTGCATGCAAAGTAATTATTTTACATCCTACCAAACGCCCCCTTATAGTCAAATCAATTGAATCCTCAATAAATAGTGTTATAAAGAAAAATTTAATACAGAGTACTTGATTTAAAGCAAGACAACTCATTACTCAAGCAATTTGAGTAAAAGAGGACTAAAAGGACCGATAAAAATATGATTGATCTCTATTTTTCTTCGCTACTAACGGTATTTTACTGATTATTATTAATAAATAATCTTACTACGGAGTGTGTAATACTAATAAATTTTTCAAAAATTGGGGCCGCTAAATAGGTGAGCTTCGTTATGTAGAATCCACCAAATCTCCTAATTAATAATACGACTCTGAGGAAATGTAGAAGAGTCTATGTGAACATGTTCTCCAAAACATACGAAGTACTCGTATAATTTAAGGAAAATGAAGACTATCTTTTAAATGATATATTTATCAAAAATAGATATAACTTTATTTTCTTTCCAAAACCACGTACTTTTAAATAATCGATCGCGGAATCCACACACTCATTTAATTAGTTTCCAATGATTTTCATTTTCAGATTTACGGATTTTCTAAAAAAGGTATGGTATATCACCACTTCATTCCCAATCCATTTCTGAAAAATACTCACCCCCATTAATTGATGTTTCATCTTCAAAAAGTTGCATGCCGCTGCTTCAACTCTCTCAAACTATAAATAAGATGGTCGAGAGAAAAAAAATCAAAGTGTCCTGCATCAAAAGTCATAAAAATAAGGAAGCAAATTAAAAGGCTGAAAAATATGATCATGGATCAACACAAAATATGGGTTGTCATCGCGACATTGTTATTCGCGATCTCCGCTGCGGATTTATCATCCGCAACGAAATTCCCGATCATTGATTTTGTCAACAAATGTGACCAAAATGTGAGTTTTGAATGTGGGGCAGTTGATCGAACTATGCTAAAGCCAGGCCAAAGAGTTTCACTCGAAGCCAGTTTCAAAAGCTACCCCAATGCCTATCATTGCAAGGGTGATGACAGTTTCGTAAGCTTCCTTATTTTCAGAGCATATAATGTGACAAGAGACAAAGAGCATCAACACATCCATTGGAAGTTCAACAGCGTTGGAGCTTATCTTAGTTATGATAATATTCACTGGACTTTGGGATCGGAGTGGGAATCTGACTAATTAAATGGTTTAATTTATCATCACTTTTTAATTTCTTATGTTATAGATTATTGTTTGTCGATGTAATCCTATTTCTTTATAGACTTTAATCAATAACATTATATTTAAATTTGATTCTTCTTCCTTTTCATGTCATTTTTGTCAAATGCGAAATGATATCTTTTATGATAATTGACTGTTGTGGCTATATAGATAATCTGAAGTATGGTAGAAATTCCTCAAATTAGGAGTGACACGTAGGAAAAAACCTAAAATTGAATTGAAAGTGTTTTAAGGTTGAATCGGTACACCATGCAAATGGTGTAACGATTCAACGTTATAATAATTTGCACAAAATATTGGGTTAATAAGAAAAGAAATTATGCTATTCTAAAATAAGTTTAAAGTTGATGATAAGTACATATTCCCTCCGTCTTATAAAATAAAAATTCTATTTGAGTGAGATCGGAATTTAAGAAAGTGAGAATAAAGTGAGAAATATTGTTTTGGTTGAACAAGAAAATGGTAAAAGAATGATTGTTTTTGGAAGAATTCGGCTTATATTAATAACCAATAATTTTTCAGAGTATGGGCCAAAAGACAGAAAGAAATCGATCTGACAACCGTTATACCTCGAACCAGACTCGGAATTAATTGCCGCAACAATAAAATTCGCTGATCCAAAATTGGGAAACAAAAAGCAAAAAACGGTTATCATATTCCTCTCATCCCCCATATCCAAAATCAACGTCTTACAAACTGGAGTAAAGCAAAAAGAAAGAACAAAAAAAACCAAACAACAAACAATTCGACAGAAAAACACAAACTGAGTAAAACGAAATTAAAAACGAATTCACCAATCTTCTTCCAAACCCTAGATTTGCTTTCACTCCATGGTGGCGGCTCAGGAGGGGGACGCATCCGCTGTTCATCCGCCACAACTTCAACATTAGCTTTATTCAGATCCAGTTCTTCTTTCTCTGCGCCAATCTCCATCGTCTTGTACTTGTCCACAAAGCTTTCCTGGCAAAAAAGAGAAAACTCAAACGAATATCCGAAACTCGTTTCCACCTCCATATCCGCCGACGAAGCGGGTTTACAGCGAGAGAAGCCGACGAAGTGGGGTTACAACGAGAGAAGCCGACGAAGCGGGGTTACAGCAAGAGAACTCTTATCCGCACCCGTATTGAAACCCTTCATTCAATAGCTCAGACCAAGGAACCCGGACAACGTCTTCGACAATAAGCAACGTCTTCCAAACAATCCAAAGAAACATCCAACGAATAAAGGACTCGGAGACACGGCGGAGAACCGTCTCCGGACAAACCCTAGACCGGCCTAGGCGGTGGTTCTAGAGAGAAAAAGGAAAGTTCATGGTTACTCGTTTCACAAGTAGATTAACGGTAAAAGAATGTTATTCACACAAAATATTCCAAAAGGTGAAATGAGAAGAATTTGTTGGGACATTTCAAAATAGTAAGTGGGAGAATTTTATGGGATATAGTGAATAATATTTAAAATTACTCTCTGAAGTACTCTAAAACTCTGAGTACATTTGAGTAATTATCACGGTGAAAGAGTGTTCGATATAATTTGGGACATTTTTTAAGGGTTTAAATATGTTATTAGTTCATGAAAATATGACACAATTTGTTTTAGATCTGCAAAATATTTTCTTTATTGTCATCCCTGTAACATTCATTGTTTTTGTTTTACTACATCTCTAACTCCGAAACAACTCTACTTAGAAATGCTTTTATTGCCAGTTGCACAAATCTACTAGAAACATTTAAATTTATCACTTTATAATTTTTTTAGGCTAATATGAAAGCTAAAACAATATTGATAAGTCCGTATTTAGACACGCATTTGATGCGTGTCCGGGTCGGATTTTGATGGTTTTCCGGGCTTCAAGGCGTTGCAAGTCTCAATTTTGGCTCAAGTTGTGTTTAGCAGGCGTTGGATCGAGTTTCATTACATTTGGAGTTGATTTGAAGAAGTTAGAGTCCGGCAATCGGCGCTTGAGAGGCATTCAGGAAGGATTTGAAGGCATTCAAGAAAGATTTGAGAGATTTGGAGGTCACCGGGAGATTCACGACGAAATCCTGATGAAGAAAGAGCATTTGGATCGACCTCGTAGGCATCCGGGAGCGTTAGGAGTAAGAAAACGAACGAAAAGTGAAGAATAAGGTCAGGCACGGTCGTGCCTGGAGTTAGGCACGCCGTGCCTGAAGAGAAATATTTCTGGGAGCTACTGGAGGCCAGGCACGGTCGTGCCTGGCAGCTAGGCACGCCGTGCCTGGCATTTATCACGGAACTTGGCTACTGGAGGCCAGGCACGGTCGTGCCTGGAGGCTAGGCACGCCGTGCCTGGACGCGAATTTCGGGTCTCTTCCGCAGGCACGGTCGTGCCTGGCACCGTGCCTGGCCGCGATTGATCCTAATTCGACCCGAATTCGTTGTTTTCTATAAATAAGGCCTCCATAACCCCGTGTTGGGAGGACGAACATTACGGAGAGGCCTAGGGACGAATTTAACACCGTTTTTACGCAATTTTATTCGAAGACCCTGAGATTATTTGTAAGTTCATCTTTTAATTAATGACAATTTATTCTATTCTTCCCAATTCTGTTGATTCTTCAATTATGAATTGTGAGTAGTTTAATTAGGGATTTGGGGTTGATGAAGAGGTTAATCATGATGTATGGCTAGACTCTTTTCGGTGTAATTGCATGAATGCCGCTTAATTTGTGTTTGAATAATTTAACTGATATCTTTTGTAACCTGGAACCGCGGCTAGAATTACAATTGCTTGTAGAATAAATTAAGAGAGATCTAGTTTATTCTAGGACACATTCACACACACTTAATCGTTCGCTAAGAGATTAGTAGCGATTAAGGGGCCGTAAGCTCGCTCGTCTTGGCAATAATTTAGGATCCTGTCGCATGAGAGATCAGTCTGGTCCCCTAATTTATTGTACTCTACGCCGCGAGAGCGGTAAGAACTTAGTAATGATTAGCTAGGCTCAATTAAATTAATTTCATGTAATTAGGCCTGATCTGCCAGAAATCTGGTTACCCCGGAATCGAACCCTGTTCCCTTCGTCATTAATTAGAAAGAACCCCCTAGTTTAATTGTTCGCATTAGTTTTATTTTCCAAACCAACCAATCTCGCACGACGCTTTTATTTTATTTTCTTTTCATCGCTGAATTTAATTAATTCTTGATTCCCTTTTGTCCGTCCCTGTGGAGACTGTACTCGTACTTACACCACTATATTACAGTCTATTTTAAGTGCGAGAAAACACACATCAAATATTAAAACTAATTATCCGCATTTTAAAAATATGTATTAAAACACTTTTTAAATATGAAATTAAATATTTTTGAATGACATGACAAAGAATTGAATGATACTCCGTATCTATTAGTCGGGTTTGCTTTATTGTCAAACAGAGATTGTTATCGTTAGTCACTTAGTCATAAACAAATGATAACAAGATAAATTTCCGAAATGAAAACAAATGAATGTATTTTCAAAGGACCTAAAACAAACTATTAAATTTATAGAGGACTATCATGGTGTACAGATGGTCCAAACAGTATCAAAAAGTGTCTAAACAATTTCTAAATATTGTACCCTACAATAAAATGAATTTATTCCCTTAATAATTGTGAAGTAGGGACATTTTTGCGTTTCTTTTGGTCAAATTGGACTTTGTTCTTCTGTTCATCTGCATCTAGTCGAAATTTGTAAAGGAAGGGGTGCGAGTGCAGTCAAATATCTCCGTGCAAATTCCAATTAACTTTATTCGTGAAGATTCTCAAAACAATCAACCTGAAGAAGGCATGGCGAACAAAGTATCGCAGCAAGAATGGGGGCAGCGAGCATGGGACTTTTTATCAGCTGTCCGCCATGGCTCACCCTTAGTTCAGTGCATCACCAATTTCGTATCCATGGACTTCATGGCCAACACGCTGTTATCTGCCGGCGCCTCACCGGCGATGATCCATTCCGCGGACGAAATCCCCGAGTTCACTCCCAAGGCGCATGCCCTCTTAGTAAACATGGGTACGCTTACTGCCGACTGGCTTCCCGGCATGAAATTGGCGGCACAGGTTGCCAGCCAATCAGGAAAGCCTTGGGTTCTCGACCCTGTCGCTGCCGGTGTATCCAGTTTCCGGTTGAATGCTTGTTCAGAGCTTCTGGAGCTTAGACCGTCTGTTGTTCGAGGAAATGCCTCTGAGATACTTGCGCTTTCTAAAGGTTCCGTCGATTCTATTTCTAAGGTAAGTATGTAGTGATTTTCCTTTTATTGGATTTAAGTAGGGCTTTGGCTTTTAAGTGAACATTGGCGAATGCTTCGTGTTTGGGTTCATTTCAGCATTCATGATTATTCGTTTGGTTAAGTAAATCAGACTTTTTTTTATAACGAGCTACTAAACGAACAGAACTAAGTTTTATGATTGATGTTTAAGTTTTTGTAGAGAAAAAATCCTTAAATAAGACAAAAAAATAGACAAAGTGTACAAATAGGATCCCATTGTTTACTTTTTAAAATAAGAGTCATTTGATTCTACTTCTAATAAAGTAAATTTTATACTTATAATAGGAACGTTTAATTGATCCTACATGGAAATCGAGTCCTCCTAAGTTCAAACATAAGGTCCTTATGTTTGAACGGATAGGAGTGAACGGATAGCTTCAAATGGGAAGCTATTATCTAGGAGCTAGATGGATCAAATTTGGATTTCTTGGATTTTGCCTTTTTATTACTTTTATCTCGTTGTCTTCATTAGCTTTCGGGGTGTTCTCCCCTTTTCTTCATTAGAGGATGTAACCTTTTTTCGTTCTCAATAAAATAATTTTATTTCTAAAAAAAAGTCCTATTTTGGAAATCAATCACTCTTATTTGTGCACTTCATATATGTTCCAGTCCTATTTGATGCATTTTTTTTGTATATTTTGTTGTGATTTGTAATGTGCGAAAAGCGGCTGTATTGCTCAATGTGGGTGGAAACAAGTGTTTCTTTGTCCATTTAATTGCTTGTCAAGGGCATGTTCACATGTTTGTTTATTGTTTTTCAATAAGCTAACTAAAGTTAAACAAGTTTGTCCACAACACCAACAAGGCAACAACATCAGCCCATGGATTCACATAATGTCAGAGATATTCAAAAGAGTGGAGTCCGCTAACATGAATTCACATAATGTCAGAGTTATAAAAAAGCATAAAGAAAACATCAGCCCATGGATTTTCACATTCTGTCCAGCTTGGCTAGATTAATTCGAAATAAACTAATGATCTCAAAGCACTATAAGAGGGCGTTTGGAGCACCCAAAATGGGCTGATAAGCCTGAAAGTATAAAAAATTTGCCAAACACTAGCTGAATTTGCTGTTTGGGCTGATTTTTATTATCAGCTCAAAAAACAACTGTTTACTTACTTTTTCGGCTGATTCTTATTATTTTGCCGTCGGTGACCAAAAAGACTTGTTTTACCCTTCTGTTATACTTGAACGAACGTTGGATACATATCTGAAGTCATCAAGTCAACACATCCATCTGACGTTGCATGTAGTTTCGATGAGTTGTTTGGTGCTGTGGAGTATGGTGCTAAATACTACATACTTTACTGTTATGGATTTAAGTAATATTATAACTCCAATAAATACATATGTGTACTTTTTGTTTCGTTTTTATTTTGATTTCAATGCATGTGAGCTTTTTAATGCTCCATATATTTTATTGAAAGTGTATTTTTTAAATTAATTTACACACGTTACTAATGTCACTCATTCAGAAAAAATCGTGTTTTTTGGAGGATAAAACTTGTATAGAACAATATAAACTCAACATAGGAGTAAAATATTTGATGTCATAAGTTAAATAAGCAAAATTAATTTACTAACAAAGATCATACCCATATATTTAACACAAACAAGCTAATACCCTTTATAGTAATTTTATACTCAATCAGTCATTTCAGTCAACATATTACCAAACACTTTCACTTCAACACATTAAGTCTTTTCAGTCTATTCAGCCTATTCAGCCTATTCAGCCGTTGCATCCGTTACCAAACAGGCCCTAAGTCTGACTAAGCTAGCATCCCGAATAGAGCTTAACTAAGTATCATTTGTTTACACTCCTAAGTTCAAGTAAGAATAAACTGATCAAAACGCAACTAAAATGAAACTCTTTTTTCAAGTAGAACCATGGTTTTTATGTTTGCTTATATTAACAATCCTTTTTGTAGTCTGATTTAGGCGTACATATGGAATTCTTCAGCCATGTTATTGATATTAGGTCCCTAGGAATTTGAAAGACGGAGTAAAACTTTAAGGTAGAGAATGTCAGTATTGTATGCTGGCATGTGTTTTCCATTAGAACTGTCTTCAGGGCGGATATGTAAATTTGTTGTGATATTTCATATGGAAATAGTGCTATGTTGCTACATATTTGTTTCATGGATTGTTTCCATGTTAGGAAGATCTGCATTTCATTGCTTCATACCTGATATCCCTCTCCCAAAAAAAAGACTGCATTTAATTTTACCTGAATCGGATGAACCGAAGCATATACACTTATCTCTAATAGTTTGACTTCTCTTTTAGGGTGTGGACAGCGTTCATGGATCAATGGATGCATTAGAAGCAGCTAAATCTCTGGCTCAGTCAAGTGGAAGTATAGTGGCAGTTTCTGGAGCCATCGATTTTGTCACAGATGGAAAAAGGGTTGTTGGGGTGCAAAATGGGGTGCCACTGCTTCAAAAGATCACTGCGACGGGTTGCTCCGTGACTGCCCTAATTGCTGCTTTTGTTTCGGTTGATCCTATGCGGTCTTTTGAAGCCACAGTTTGTGCTTTTTCTATATTTGGGATTGCCAGTGAGGTAGGGATGGAGTCATCCAAAGAAAGGTCCAGCTTCCCTGCGTACAAACTTGATTGATTCACTTCATGGTCTAGATGAAGATGCCATTCTTTCTCGGATAAGCATTGACAACTTTTGAAATCTCAGATGGACAGCAGTTTGAACATGAAACATTTGTATTATTATTCAATATTCTACATAATTTTATGAAATAATTATATAAATATGACCAAAATAAAGATGATTTACAAAAATATGATTAGTGACTAGAGCTGTAATGAAATCATAGTAATTCATGTTCAAGTTTTGAGCTTAAGTTACCACAACACCACATTGTAGTAATGAATAGTCATATTTATGTAAATATGTTTTATTTTAATAATATTCTTGTAAAAAACCCGAAATATGGAAAACTTAACACCGTTGGCACTTTGTTTATTTTTGTAAAATAGGTAACTGGTTGGGATTATTATTGTGAACTTTTCAAATAGGGATTATTTTGTAAAATGTGTAAAAGTATGGATTATTGGTGTCAATTTCGCCAAGGAAAAATGATTTTAAATCACACAAATGTTACCAATTTTGGCATGAGACAATTTTAATGTGATAGATTGAAAAGAAAAGATAAAACGATTTTAGTGTGTCAGAGGGAGTATTAGAGCATCTCCAGCGGTTAGCTAAATACATTGTAGCTTTGCTTGCCACATCAGTTTTTTCTAGTTAATCCATTTTTCAGCAATGTAGTAGTCCAATGGTTAGCTCCAATGTCTGCCTCTTGAATAAGACCCGCAAATCAATTAATTTCGAAAATATACATTTTGAATGAATTTTATTGTTAATATAATAAAAATGACATTTATTTTGAAATACATATTATTAAAATTAGTATAAAAATATGTACTTCCTCCGTTCCTTTTTAATTGCAACAGTCAACATTTCACGTTTGCCAACGCACAAGTTTGACCATTAATATCTTTCATTCCGTATTAGTAAAAAATTTTAAAAATTCATATTTTGAAAATTTAGAATGAGAAGAATTTAACAATATTTTTTAAAAATTTAATTTATAATACATCAAATAATAAAATGTAGTCAAAGTAGAATATGTGAATAGTGTAAAAAGTCCAACGTTGCAACTAAAAGAGAACGGAGGTAGTATTTTGTTAAGTGACAAAATAAGGAATAAAAAATTTGCTCAAAAACAATATCAACTTATGATGAACATCAAAACCATTCTCTATTTATAATAATTAGTGGTAATGAGATTGAAACCACTTTAGAACTTTACCGTTGCTGTTTTAATTAGATTAGTATATTAATTATCAATAAATTAAATATATATATATGGGAATTACTATTTTATATCAATTTTCTCTCCTTTTTAGCATATAGCTTGTTTTGGCTAATTTGTTTGTCCAAGCTAGAAGGTAATATGCATTCCAATGGTAGGCTACTAACTTGAGTATTTTAAAAAATTGCAAGCAAGTTCTTGGAAAGAACCATGGGAGATGCTCTTACACAAGTACTAGTATTAAAGTTATGTGGCCAAGAGTTACTCTCATTCAAAAATTTAATTAGCCTTTCAAACTGTGTTTAGAATTAAAAATTAATGTGCCACAATGTAAAGTTTTTTCACAACGTTCAAAATTTGTTTAGAATTATATGGACAATATGTGAAAAGTTATAAACACGACGGATAGATGCTATGAAGTAATGAAACCTTCATAGAATGAGTATATTTTGTATGTATTTTAATGCTGGCTACACTTCTCTTTTTGAGATATATTTTAAAGTTTGTTACATTTTCATTTTTGGTAAGTTTACACTTTATAAAATATTCAATTACCTTACTTTTTCTACTTTTTATCTTTTATTATATATTTTTACACACTTTCTCCTACTTTGTATACACTATTCATTACCCCTACTACTTTATTCCTTAAAAAATGTGTCAAACCTCATGTAGTGAACATTAAAATACAGAAGGAGTAATATATTAGCTGAAATGAATTATTGAATGTAAAATTACCATAAACATTCTCCGTATTAAACTATGATACTCCATATGTGCTAGAAAAATTGACACGAATAATCTCACTTTTCACTGGCCTTCTCATAATAGTCTCACATTTATGAAAAAATCAATGAAAGGTGAGATTATTTTTGTCAATTTTTTCGTATTATTTTCCTTAAATTTATTGTACAATCCTTTTGCGTGAAAACTCAACAAGTCAACATCCTATGTACATAAGTGAAATATGGCCAAATTTTCCATAGCCAAGGCATTTCCAATTCTAAAAACGGAGTTTTTCATAGAAAAAAATGAAGAAAAATTTCACAAGACTTCTACAACCTACAAATGAAGAGCTTGACAGAAAACGGGGTCAATTTAAAATTAAAATATAAGAACGGAAAAGAAAATCATATGACATATACGAATGATATTTGAGAGGTATGATACTATGATTCTTAGATTATTATGAATAGAAAATCTGGAAATTTAGATTTCCTCAATCAAAAAGAAGAAATTGCATTAATATAAGGGAAAACAAGAGTGAGCAAGCCCGTTTTCCGTTGAAGGGTTTGGGAAATATTCTCATCTGGGGTTAGGGTAATTTTCAAATGGAAAATGCCAAATATAGACACCATATACACAAGTTGTACATAATATAAAAGCTACAAAAAATCTCGTTTCCTCCTCCCTCTTCTCCCTCTCTCGGTTCTCTCTTCCTTCTCTCTTCTTCCTCTCCCCCTTCTCTCTTTCCTCTTTACCCAATCTCTTCTCAAATTCTCAACAACAACAAAATTATCTTCTTCATCCTCCTCTTTGCTTCTTCATCCTCTTTTTCTCTACCTTTATTTATCAATTTTTTTCATTATTTGCACAAAATCAACTTATTCATCTTATTTCATATATTTTTATTACGTTTCTAATTTTATTCAAATTAATGTACATTGATTACACATACTACATCCTTCATTTGGATGTATGTAGAAAATTGAGTTTTTTGTTCACCCAAACAATTAAAATTGATCACACAGACAACTATTGTATGTGGAACGCACAACTATTGTTTGTGTGGTAAAAATTGTCTGTGCACACAGAAAAATAATTGTTTGTGCAACATGAAATTATTGTTTGTGCACACAGGCACTGCACATATATTGATTGATTTGCAAGCTGATGTCAGTGTCAGGCGGCTGTAAGCGTACTTTTTACAAAAAAGTAAATGTCTTTGGACACAGACAAAAGTTGTTTGCGTACACAGACAACTCTTGTCTTTGACCCCAGACAATTCCGTATTAATTTTCTGTGACCGACATTTTGTGTACAAGTTGTGTACAACTTGTATGCCTCTAGCATGGTTGCTCACGATAATTCCTGGATACGCCACTGTCTACCGTCCTCTTGGGGCAAAGGGTCTTTACCATTGTCAACGATGGAAATTAACGCCATGTTCAGCACACCAGTTTAGCTAAAAAAAGGGCTGAAGTATTTAAATTTCAACCAATATAAATTAAAATAGTGTTGTATGTTTGAGGGGCTGAAGTGGCTTGAGCTGAAAAAAGGGGTATGAAATCAAACGTTTGTACATGTAGCGTTTATATTCAACCGCCTAATTCCAGACTTTACATACTCGTCGTATCCCTACTCGCTCTGCACCATTGGCCCATCTTTGAGCACCGAACTCTTGTCAATCTTCATCCTCCATATATACTCAAGTAACTCAACCTGTAGTACTGCTCCTCGGGCTTCACCATTGAAATCATTGTAGACTGCTCGCGGGCTTGCTGCTTCGGCATCCTCGCCTGAAAAACCCAATAGCTGAACAAACCGTCGTCCGCAAGCATTACCCCCATTGAAAAATCAGACCCTAGAGAACCCTAAAGAATGATTGTCCCTCTGCAAAAACCTTTCCTTTTGAAAGTTTCTCTCTGTAACCACGAAACCCTATGATCAAATAATTCTTAAAACGTACGAAGTAATTATTTCAGCCACAAATTCATAAATTTGATCACCCTTAATAGATTGAGTCACCGTGTGATAAATTTGATGCGTGTTGGGATCAACTTTTGATGGTTTTCCTAGCTTTAAGGTGTCATATGTCTGAATTGTAGCTCAAGTTATATTTACCGGGAATTGGTTCAAGCTTTGTATTGTTTGGAGTCAAAATTAGGGAATTATAGGCCAACACCGACGCTTGAGAAGCAACCGGGATGAGTTGATGAGCATTTGAGGGTGATTCGAGAGTTTTGGGGGCCACCGAGAGGTTCACGACGATGATTTGATGAAGAAAGAGCCTAAGGATCGATCACAGAACCATTCCGGAGAGTTTTGTGCTATAAAACGAAGAAAAAGCTCTACTTTGGGGTACGCACGGCCGTGCATAGGCGTTACGCACGCCGTGCGTGTGTGGAAGACAGGTTATAAAACGGAAGAGGCTACTGCCAGCCAGACACGGTCGTGCCTGCCAGGGAGGCATGCCACGCCAGGCCCGGTTGCGCGTGAATGCTCCGTTGGCACGGCAGGTAGGCACGCCGTGCCTAGCCCCGTGCCTGCGCCGGATATCCTAGTTCAACCCAAATTTTGTCTGTTTTCTATAAATAAGGCCTCTATTTTTCCCATTTTGAGGTTACAAAATTTAGAGAGAGGACTAGGGACGAGTTTTACGTTGTTTTTCCGCTTATTATTCAAGACCCTGAGATTATTTGTAAGTTCCTACTTTTTAATTAATGACAAGTAATTTTGTTCATCCCAATTCTGTTGATTTTTCAATTATGGGTTGTGAGTAGTTTTAATTATGATTTGGGATTGATGCAGGGGTTAATGACTAATTTCATGATGGATTAATTGCATGAATGTCATTTGATTTGTATTTGAATGATTTAATTGATATCTCTTGTAATATTGACTGCAGCTAGGATTATAATTTCATGTAGAATAAATTAAGAGAGATCTAATTTATTCTAGGACACCTTCACACACACTTAATCGTTCACTAAGAGATTAGTAGCGATTAAGGGGCCATACGCTAATTCGTTTTGGCAATAATTTATGATCATGTCATATGAATGATCAGTTTGGTCCCTTAAATTATTGTACTCTACGCCGCAAGAGTGGTAAGAACTTAGTAATGATTAGTGTTGCTCAATTAGATTAAGTTCATGTAATTAAGCCTGATCAGCCAGAAATCTGGTTACCCGGGAATCAAATCTTTGTTCCCTTCGTTGTTAATTAGAAAGAACCAAACTTTTTATTCGTTTATTCGCATTTTAATTTTCTAAACGACCAATCTCACACAATTGTTTTTTATTGTATTTCTTTTTAATCGCTGAATTTAATTAATTCCCAATTCCCTTTTTCTGTCATTGTGGAGACGATACTCGTACTAACATCACTATTCTACGATCTATTTTAAGTGCGAGAAAACTCACAACACCATGATTTACAATCTCTCATGTGCTCTGTCGGGTAAATAGGAGTTCAGAATACGTTATGAAACCTAATAAATATGGAAACGTAATTAAAGTATTAATTACACTATTAAGAGGTTCTTGGGGTTGGGATTCGGAGTTTTTTTCAAATTAATGCTAAGAAATAAATTATTTATGAAATTATGGTATGGTTAAAACAATTTACGAGAATACTGCTCATCAAAGTAGGGTTGGGATGAAAATCAATTGCGGAATTTGCTTTCCTCCCAAACAATTCACTATATAATCTATCATCGTCTGTACATTTGCTAAATATATATTTTATTTGACTTCAGATGAAAATCATATAAATGATTAAAAAAATAACAATTAGATCTTAATTTTAGCGCTTGGATCTACTTATAAAAATAATGAACCTAAATCTACCAATTGCATCTTCCCATTTTTGTAAAAAAAGACATTGGTTTACAATTGGGTTTAGTGAAGAAGGAACATGCGTGCATGGTGACTCTGGTTTACATTAGTTATTTTTCATATAATTGATTATTTATTTTATTAGTAAAATATACGTAGTATTCTAAATATATACTTTTTATAAATCAGCAAAATCATCCGATGCAATCAGTTTAACCGGACCTTAAATTTGATCAGAATCAGTCGATTCAGCAAATTTCTATGTGGGTTTTTGATCAAAAATGGGTTTTTGATCTTTTCACCCTCATGTGGTCTTCCGAGTTTTTAAACTTTATATATATAATATTGATGTCAAATGAAAGATTTAAAATGTTATAAAATTTGGTATATTGTTTTAAAAAGTTGGAGTAAAAATGTAAAAGATACTCCCTCCGTATCAATTTAATTGACCCATTTGCTTTTCACGCAGTTTAAGACAATTACTGTAGACTTTATTAAAAGTAAGAGGCTTTTGGTACTGTAGCGACACTGTAGCGGTACTGTAGCAGTACTGTATCTGCTTTTTGAATGAGATTCTTTCCAAAAAGGGAAATGGGTCAATTAATTTGATACACCAAAAAAGGAAAGTGGGTCAAGTAATTTGATACGGAGGGAGTATAACCTTTTTAAAGAAAAAGGGATTTTTTTAATCTTTTGTCTCCCACCCTATGTAGCACTGATACCGGTACGCGGAAACGCGGAAACGCGGAAACGGGTACGAGGATACGTCAAAACAAAAAAAAGTAGGATACGGATACGGAGCCATATTTATAAATATTAAAAGTTATGGGGTGTATTTACAAATATTAAAAGTTATAGGGGTCTATTTATAAATATTAATTTTTTTTTGAATATATATATACACACACACACACATATAATATCCTATGATGTCTACTCATTCATTGCATTGAAGCATTTTCCTTTTTCAAGATACTTAGTAATAAATTCATAATATTTCTCATGTACACTAGTGTATCTCGAAATATAAATGTAGTCAATGAGTCATTAATTTAAAATGAGAAATAAGTCAAACAACTACAATCTTGAAATTAAAAGTGCAAGTACCCACTTCGGAGTATGAGTTAATGACTTAATTCGGATATAGCCATATAGGCCCATTATTTCATTACCAAGTAAAATGTAGTTTTAGATTTTCATTTTTTTCAGAATTTTATTAAGTAAATTTTGGGATTTTTTATTTATAAAAAAATGGTTGATACGGGTATCCGTCAGGATACGAGTATCGGAAACTTTCAAAAAATTAAAAAAAAATGGAAACTTTTAAAAATTGCAGATACGGCCCGGTAACGTACGGTACAGGTATCCTAGAGTATCGGATACGGGAACGTATCCGATACGCCGATACGCTACCCTAGGGAAGTATCCGTGCTTCATAGCTCCCCCCTCTTTTGCTCTCCTGCTCAACGAGTGTCTTCCCAGGCAGGTTTCGGCTTTCCGTGTTTCGAAATTCGAAGCTAAGTCGCCATTTCCTTTGAGATCTATAGTTGAGATCTAGCGGTATATTGGTAATTAGATTTAACTATCGGCCAATTTGGTAAATAGTTTATTTTTTAGCATTAATTTAGAAAAAAACTCTCGTTTTCAACCTTCTATACACAAATAAATTTGACCATGTTAAGGAAGTGTTTTTGTTTGCTTAAAAAAGCACTTTAGAGCTTTTAGATTAAAAAAGCTGTAAAAAGTGTTTGGTAATAACAACTTCTACTTTAAAAAAGCATTTTTAAGTTGAAAAGTAGAAGCTATGATATGCCAGCTTCTAATTGCTTTTAATAGCTTCTGGGTTTTTTGGTAAATATTTGCAACTTTAAGCATAATAACAACCCAACCTATCTCTATCCTTATACCAACTCTACCCTTAGGCTTTCGTCGCCGATATCTAAACACGTCCTCCCCCCCAAGAGCTTCACCCCTCCCTATCCATCTCTGAGAGCTAAGCAAGTGATGGCGAAGTTCAAATTTCAAGTCTAAAATTGTTGCAGCATCTAAACCGGCGTCCATGTAAGGTCTATTTGTAACTGCTATTTTTCCTTTTTTCTATTCATTTAATTTTATTGAATTTCAGATTTTATTATTTTCTTCGGAGTTTATTGTCCTCTGTAAACCATGCTCTGCTCCGTAGCTTTATATCTGTGTGTATATTATCCAATGGAGATGTTTCTGTTCCTTATTTTTCAGAATCAACTGAGTGAGGGTGAATTGATGGATTTACACGTGATGCAATCTGTCCAAGTAATCAAGTTATGAAGATGCAAAGTTGTTTGGAATGGTTTGTTTTACCAGTAAACTAAAATCGGAACTTCAATTTGAAAGAAGATGGAGGAACTATTATGGATCTGCCGATCTGGTGTAATGGGGTTAAAAATTGTTGGTGGGTGCAAGGGTATTATTGTACTTCAACAAAATATTACATCTAAAATCACTTTTTTTATCAAACACTCCAACTTTTACATTTTAATTAAAATCACTTCTATTTTCAAACACTACCTACTTTTACTACAAATCACTTCTATTTCCAAACACTATCTACTTTTACTACAAATCACTTTTTCAATAATCTCTTAAAAAAATCACTTTTAAAAAGCACAAGTAATCACAAACACTCCCTAAAATTTGGTGTACACCCAGTATTCTAAAAAGGCCTTATTAGGCGGCTCATAGGCGCACCATTGCGCAAGGCGCACAGCAAACGCCCCGCACAGCCTTGAGGCGTGCTAAAAGGCGTGTTAAGCCTTTAAAATCCGGAAAAAATAAACTTAACTAAAGCCTGTTAGGCCATATTTAGTCCCACATTTAGTCCCACGTGCACAGCGTAGCAACGTAGCCTTAACTTGGCAATTCGATTAATATATACCCAGTCAGGAGGAGGATTTGTCTCTTCCTTTCCGGTGTGGGAATACTAAAATAGTACTCCCTCCCCAAAATTAGCTTCTCACTTTCCTTTTTGGGCAGTCCCGAAATTAACTTCACACTCCAAAATTTTCCTTATTTGGCAAATAATCTACATCAAAAAAGTGTCAAACAGTGCCAAACAGTTTGCAAATAGTGTAAAACAGTGTTTAAACAGTGCACTCCACAGTAAAGTCAAATTTATTTTCTTAATCTGTGTGAAGTCAAACTAAGAACTTAATTGCGGGACGGAGGGAGTAGTAGAACTACGTTGCACCTATATGCTTGTTCACATTTTTTTACGGTTGCTTGCTCACATTCTTTATTTCTTAGTTTTGAGTATAGATCTACTCCGGATTATATTGCTTATATTATACTCCGTATAACTATAAACTTTAATTCAATCACTTCATTTTTTATTAATAATAGTTAACATTAATGTTTCCTTTAAAAAAAAAAATAGTTAACATAAATGTATTATATCTACTGAAAAGTAATGGTGTATTATTGTTATAATATTGTTTTTACTCTTGTATGTTGAAACAATATGCTTAATATTGCTATTAGTATTATCATTATAAATATCTATTTTACAATTTCTTATTTGTTGTATAGCTGATGCATCATGCATATATTATGAGTCATTGATAGTTTTTCAAAATTGTATTGTCCGAAAATGTAAAAGTATGATGCTTTTACGTGGTATATTTCACATTCCATGTGTATGTTTATTACTTTTTCAGATCAAGTTTTTGTGTAATTAGTGAATTTATACTATGTATTTGTTAGATTTAGGTCCCGATAAACACCTTTATGTCGAAAATGAGAACAATCTTATGTTTTTGAATAACATTGTTTATTTTTATATTTAAATATTTAAAAACATCTTTACGAATATTTAAATAAATGATAAAAAATCAAAACGCCTTTTCACGCCTAAGTCCCGTCTAAGCCCGTCTAAGCTTTAAAGGCTTAAGGTTTGGGTGTACCGCTTCAGCATGCCTTACACCTTTTAGAACATTGTGTACACCAATGTAACTTTTTTTTCTCTCATTTGTGATTTTATGAGATGGGAATGAAGAAGAATCTTTTTGATGCTCCATTTACCCGCTGTACATAAGCAGGCTCTCATGTGCTGTCAACTCCATCATCGAAACCCACTGACTCATTCTGCCACTCTCGTCCTCTCCGCATCGCCAAAGGCCCACAACCCCACCATTTGCCATTCTTTAATGCTTTCGCCAATATATTGTGTGCACTGTAGAGAGTTCCAGGATATTGGACATTTGGACTGGCCCTGGATTGTGGGAAGTCTGTCTCAAATTGAGCTTGGTTTGCTCAATTGCTTTATGATGATGCGGTCTCTTCCTTCGAAACCATTGTTTCGATTATTTGATTAGAGTCACAGATTTTTGTTTAACATGCTTATTATAGTATCGGAGTAATAATATACACAGTACTTCATATTACTGTATGAAGTGTCTGGTCGTGAGGAGTGGTATTAGAATCCCACACCGGGAAAGTTTGAATCAACAAAATGTTATGTTAACATGTTAAGACCCGGAGTTTTATTCTAAAAGGTCAACCTAATAAGAGTAGCCCATGTGTTAATATAACATTTTGTTCATCCAAACTTTTCTGGTGTAGGACATTTACACCCCTCCTCACGATTAGATCAGACACTTCGTCTGGATCGTGCCATCATTCTTTTTTTTATCGGTCCGTTTTTCATCCGGCCATAATTTTCATTTTTTATAATCATGTCAACATTATTCATAAGGTCTCCCATACCATGGATCGATATGGCTCTGATACTATGTTAAGACCCGGAGTTCCATCCTAAAAGGTCAACCTGATAAGAGGAGTAACACATACTCCCTCCGTCCCTGTTTGTTCTTCCAAATTAAAGTGGCACAGTGATTAAGAAAGTGAGAATTGTGTGGTGGAGAGTTGTGCAGAGGAGAGAGAAATGTTGTGAACCACAAATTCTTTGCCAAAAAGGGAAAGTGAAGTTCTTTTTGGGACGGACGAAAAAGGAAAGTTGGAAGTAAATTTAGGGACAGAGGGAGTATGTTAAATTGTTAATATAGCATTTTGTTCATCCAAACTTTTCCGGTGTGGGACATTTAACAGGGGCTCTAAGTCAACCTGATTATTTGGGTTCGAAGGAGTCCCTAAATTGTTGTAGTCTTAACCCAATTCATTAACAAAAATTATAATTCATCACATATTAAATGGTTCAATTATATAACTGGCCTGGGGTACATAATTCCTATGAGTTTAATTTTTATTTTGCGAATGTTTGATAATAACTCTGGTATAAATACTTCTAAAATTATTTCTCTATATTCACTAAACCATGCAATTAAAAAGAAAGTTATTTTGTGAAAGATGCTCTTTCAATGGTAGATGTTGCAACGGGCAAGATAGGCATAAACCCCTACCTTCTAGCTTTTGTACTATTTCAATTCAAAGAGCTTTTATAAGTTTCTAATTGAATGTTAGGCATGACAATTTTTAAAAACTTTTTAAAAATAAAAGATCTTTTCGAAAAAAAACTTTGTTTTTTATAAAAGATCTATTCGAGATGTGAGATGCTGCCGTGAATAACATCTGAAAAAGTCTATAGCTTGTAGCATTAACTATTTACAACAACTTTATACGAAACATAACAAAATCAAATAGTCATCTTTTTATTATCAAACAACTGCCGCCTTTTAATTTTAGGGAAAAATGTCAAATATGTCCTCGAACTTTCATAAAAAGGTCAATTAAGTCCTTCTATAGGAGGTTCTGTCCGACCGTCGCGATTTGGGGCAGTTTCCGGTGGAATTTTTTGATGAAATTTTTTGAGCATCTTATTCACCAAGTCTAGTTTACTCATACCAAATTTCAGCTAAAAATTCAATCGGGAACACATTCAAATTAATTCTTGAAGATAACTGCGCATTTTTGCGTTCTCGAATTAATTTGAATGCGCTCCCGATTAAATTTTTAGCTGAAATTTGGTATGAGTAAACTAGACTTGATGAATAAGATGCTCAAAAAAATTCATCAAAAAATTCTACCGGGAACCGCCCCAAATCGCGACGACCGGACAGAGTCTCCTATAGAAGGACTTAATTGACTTTTTTATGAAAGTTCGAGGATTTATTTGACAGTTTTCCCTTAATTTTATAATCGTTTTAGACACTAAAAGTTAAATATCTTTTCAACTAGTTGTGCCGAATATATCTTAAACCAAACTCATCGATGAATCTTGATGAAGATCTTAGATCATGTTGATATTATTCATCACAAATTAAAGAAAACTCCTCAACAATGACCTTTAACAAGACTAGAATGCCCGCCTAACAACAGTAGTGCAGATTCCATTCGACATATTCCATATACTCCCTCCGTCCCGAAAAACAAGTTCTCACTTGTCTTATCTGGATGTCCTAAAATAAACTTCTCATTTCTTTATGTGACAAATTATCCCCATCAAAACAGTGAAAAAAAGTGTCAAACAGTGCAAAACAGTGCCAAACAATGTCGAAACAGTAAAATTTACCACTCAGTAAATTTATTTCCTAAAAATGTGTGAAAGTCAACCTGGGAACTAGTTTACGGGACGGAGGTAGTATGAATTGTGTTGACCAGGCTTCCACTGGCCAATGTATATAGTAGAGTCAACTCGAGACCAATTAAGATCGACCTACTTCAAACATGGGACAATAAACAATATAACAGGTGAAAATAATGTGAATTATATGTTTGACTATCCTTTTAAAAACATAACAAATGCTTTGCATCATTCGAAGTGACACGTTTTCTCCATTTCATGTATCTAACCAATGAGTTGGTCTTTAAACTTGACTTGCTTAACAATTGGAAAATCACATAAATATAACTTAACAAGATTAACTAGCTTTGATTCACATAAATAAGAGACCTTATGTTTCAGATCAAGGCATGATGTTAAGTGTGAACGACTTTGTGTTTAACTCACGAAAGAAAATCTCCATTTCATGTGGGAACTGTTTGAAAAGTTGAAGTATTTCAAATTAGCTTTTTCATTTTCTTTACACTTTGTCCCACGTACACCGATTTTGGAAGGAAATCTTTGAATCCTTTTAAAAGCACATTCCTTTGTAAGAGCATCTCCAATGTCATAATGTGCACGGTGCACATATGGCATGAGTGATAGCCACATAAATATTAGCATATAAATTATCTCTCTCCTTATTTGAATGATTTTATACAATTTTGGTAAGTTTTTCCCTGCAATGTCAACAACAATGTCAACATCTAGACGGTCTCCTTGACATTTTGGAGAAAAACCTACTAAACTTGTATAAAATCATTCAAATAAGGAGAGAAAGAATTTATTTACTAATATTTGTGTGGTCATTTCTCATGCCACATGTGCACCGTGCACATTTTACCATTGGAGATGCTCTAAGGAGTAAAAACAAAATAAAGGTAATCTCTCGAATTTTGCCAAAAAAATATGTGGGGTGAGATTACTAAGCAACACTTCAAGATATAAGAATTGTTTACTAGGTAAACATTTATGGAAAAAATTGTTTATCTCACCGGTGAGATCAACAATTTTTTCCATAAATGTTTACCTAGTAAACACTCCTTATAATAATAAGTTAATGGTGAAATTTAATGTGAAGTAAAACTGTCTAACTATTTATGAGCATGAAATAAGAAAGTGGTGTTAAACAAAAATATGATTAGTAAGTGCCTGTTTGATAACCTCTATAACTGGCTTATCAGTCTATTTTCCAAAAAAAATGCTAACATAAAATTTTTGATTCATCACTTAAATTTTGTAATTATAAAATTAAGGTTGAAATAAATATTTTGACTAATCATTGAAGATAACTATTTTAACTATATTTTCATATAAAAATTTTATGTATTCTATTAAAAAAATACCGAGTACATTTTCAATATTCTACAATTCACGACATTCGATCCCTCAAGTAGAATTTCATGAATTTCAATAAATTGAAATGATTCTAACATATTTAGAGCCCATTTGGTAACACTGGAATAGGCTGAATCGGTTGATCTTGCTGAAATTTATGAAGTTTTGGCTTAAGTTGTTGTATTGGATGATTCTGCTGATTAATGAAAATATTAAATTTAAAATATATATTATTAATACAATAAAGAAAATATTATATGTAAAAAATAGCTAAAATGGTCCTTTACGGTAACTTCAGTTGAAATATCCAGAAAAATAACTACAATTTTACCTTTTCTTATTATTACACTTTTCAGCGCGCGAAATAAAAAAAATTACGTGTTTGGTGAAAAAGTTGGGTAATAAATCTGATAAGCTGAATAACAGTGTTGCTAAACGGCTCTTAGTCCTAGGACTGGCAATATCACCCGCACCCGCGGATACCCGGTCAACCCGAACTGAAAATATGGATGAAAACCCAAAGAAGTAAGGATGAAAAATGGATGATGGGTAGATCGAAAGACGGGGTGGATCGGTTGTGGATGAAGGCTCATCCAACCCATCACCTGACCCGTCACCCATTCCATCCACCCACCAGCTGACCCGCATATAAGTATATAAGTATATAATATATACTATATCTAATTAATAATATATAATATATAATATATAATAATAATAATAATAATAATAATAATAATAATAATAATAATAATAATAATAATAATAATAATAATAATAATAATAATAATAATAATAATAATAATAATAATAATAATAATAATAATAATAATAATAATAATAATAATAATAATAATAATAATAATAATAATAATAATAATAATAATAATAATAATAATAATAATAGTGAATTGGTGAAACAAAGATAATTGGAGACCTTCAAGAATTGGCAGTTGAATAGCAAAAATAGTTTTGTGCCGATGCATAAATGTAGAATTTAACTACTTGAAGAAGTTTTATGTCTATTTTGTCTAACATTCAATACTTTCTTTATCATCGGCAGTGAATTAATGATTATAATATATTTAATTGCTCATGTTTTTGTTGTTATTTTACAATAAATTCTTAATTTTTGGTTTTTAATTATCATGATTTCTCTTTGTAATTTATTTATTTTGTCTCAAGTTTGACCATTTATATTTCACCCGCTACTCACCCGATCCACCCGATAACCCGTTCAAGATGGATGAATTAATGGGTATAAAAAATGGATGATGAATGAGTGAGTGAAGTATAAAAAATTAATGGGTAGACGTGGATGGGCATCCACCCAGTCACCCCGGTGGATGGGCATCCACCCAGTCACCCCCGGTGAAAATCCGACCTGCTGTCACCCATAGTTAATCCATTTGAATTTCAATTAACGTGTTACCACGTAGCAAAAAAGTGAAAAAACCCATCAAAACCACTCAATTGTACAAATGTACGTATTGAGTAGAAAAGCGGTGTGCAACTAAACTTTGTTTTTACTAGCAGCTAGGGGTGGGTTCGTAGAACCGAAAACCGAAAACCGAATCGAATCAAATCAAACCGCGACCAAATAAACCGAACCGATGAAAAACCGAAACCGAACATAAGAAACCGAACCGAACCGAACATGTTTGGTTTCGATTTCGGTTTTGACTCCTCAAAACCGAACCGAACCGAAAAAACCGAAATATTTAAAAATATAAAAAAATCATTTATTTTATATGGAGTATATGGCCGGTCATGTGGTCAACGCTCAAGACCGAAAGCGTAAGAGGCTTTTTACGAGTCCAGTACTTTATAATCTTTTAACCTAAAATGTAAGAGGCTTAGCTCTCGAAAAAAGGAGCCGCCGTCGAAGACATGGTAGATCGATTCAAGATACAACAACAACAACATCCAAGCCTTAGTCTCAAATGAAATTGGGGTCGGCTAACATGAATCGATACATGATATCACCACCAAAAGAAAAAGAAAGAAAATGAAGATTAAAAAATAAGCTATTATAAAAAAGATAATATAAAACGGAATGAATATACATAAAAATGATAAAATTTAAAGGGTAAAAATAATGTTTATATATATAAGGATAAAAGAATAAAAAACACGAAAAAAGACGAGGGAAAATAATAATAATAATAATAATAATAATAATAATAATAATAATAATAATAATAATAATAATAATAATAATAATAATAATAATAATAATAATAATAATAATAATAATAATAATAATAATAATAATAATAATAATAATAATAATAATAATAATAATAATAATAATAATAATAATAATAATAATAATAATAATAATAATAATAATAATAATAATAATAATAATAATAATAATAATAATAATAATAATAATAATAATAATAATAATAATAATAATAATAATAATAATAATAATAATAATAATAATAATAATAATAATAATAATAATAATAATAATAATAATAATAATAATAATAATAATAATAATAATAATAATAATAATAATAATAATAATAATAATAATAATAATAATAATAATAATAATAATAATAATAATAATAATAATAATAATAATAATAATAATAATAATAATAATAATAATAATAATAATAATAATAATAATAATAATAATAATAATAATAATAATAATAATAATAATAATAATAATAATAATAATAATAATAATAATAATAATAATAATAATAATAATAATAATAATAATAATAATAATAATAATAATACGAGATCACTCCTCCACACGAATACTCGCCCTCCACTTTGCTCTCTCGATTCAAAATGTGAAGCAAAAATGAGCGGATCTCACTTTGGAACTGCATTTTATTTTGATTTCAGTTGGGACTGTATTTTATTTTGTTGCACTATATCCAAGTTTACTACGCTTAACTTTTAAGTGTCATGCACTAATGTTTAGTGCACTTTATTTAAATTGTAAGGCTGGAATTGACTTTCTTCAGTACTTTGTGTTTTATTTTCCTGCACTTTGGTTATTTTGCACAATTGCACGTCATTTCTTTTTTCAGAAAGTACGTGTCTTTTGGTTTAAAACCGAAAAAACCGAAATCGAACCGAACAAAACCGAACCGAATCAACCGTGGTTGGACAAAAAATATGAACAAACCGAACCGAACCGAAGTTTTTAGTTTGATTCTACATTTGGTTTTAGGTCAAAACCGAACCGCATAAACCGAACCCACCCCTACTAGCAGCTGGGAGAAAGGTAAATGAAAAATGATGGCTAGCTAGTCGACAATCACTGGTCCTCACCACTTTCCATGTCAGGCTTCTATCCCTACCCTTTTTCGGCTTATATGCCCTCCACTCTCACTTTCATACCCAAAACCGATGCTGAAAAGTCCAGTCCATCCCCCCCAATTCCGATCACATGTGACTTCCCCTGATTCTCTATAATGCTGCGTACCGGAAATGGCGTCACCAGTAATGGGTTGGTGGAGATGAAGGAGCGCCAGCGCTGGAGACCCGAAGAAGACAGCCTTCTCCTCGCTTATGTCAAGCAGTACGGCCCTAAAGAATGGAGTCTGATTCCTCAGAGAATGGGTAAGCCGCTGGATCGGGATCCCAAGTCCTGCCTTGAGCGGTGGAAGAATTACCTGAAACCCGGCCTGAAGAAGGGCTCCTTGACGCCGGAGGAGCAGGGCCTGGTCATTTCTCTCCAGGCGAAGTACGGCAACAAGTGGAAGAAGATCGCCGCCGAGATCCCCGGCCGGACGGCCAAGAGGCTGGGGAAGTGGTGGGAGGTTTTCAAGGAGAATCAGGCGAAGCAGCTCCAGAAAACGCGGAAGCGCCAGGGCTTTCACGACGGGGCTACTCTCTCCGGCGGGGGCTCGCCGGAAACCGCCGTACAGGGGAAGTACGATCACATTCTCGAAACCTTCGCGGAGAAGTACGTACAGCCAATAACGCTCTATGGGTGTACGTTTCAGTCGTCCCTGCCCCTCCCGCCACCCATCTCGCCGCCGCCGCCCGTACTTTCCCTCGGCGCCGGAGAACCCACGGCAACCGGAGCACCCTCCCCTGTTCTCCTCCCTCCATGGATGAATTACACCATCCCCTCCGCTCCGGCGTCTTCGTCTTCATCGACCTCGGCCTCCACACCGGCCCTGCAATCTCCGCCTTCCGTCATCAGCCTCAACCTTTCAACCCCACCCGAACCCCTGCAACAGCAGCAGATCTGCACCCTGATCCAGTACTGCAAGGAGCTGGAAGAAGGGCGGCAGAATTGGGTTCAGCACAGGAAGGAGGCGACATGGCGGATGAACAGGGTGGAGCAGCAGCTGGAGGCAGAGAAGGCTCGGAAAAGGAGAGAAAAAATGGAGGAGATAGAAACAAGGGTGAGGTGTTTGAGGGAAGAAGAAGATGGGTTTTATGGAAGGATTGAGAATGAGTACAGGGAACAGGTGATTGCAGTTCAGAGAGATGGAGAAGCTAAAGAGGCAAAGTTAATGGAAGCATTGAGCAAGCAGCATGGGAGGCTGGCTAAGGTTGTAGAACAAATTGGTCTGTGGTGAATTAGTTGTAAGTAGGACATAGATTTCATAGCTAGCAAGTCATCATCAAGCTGCATGTTTCACAGATTTGGTGTCCAATTCTTCCAAACACATTGTAAAGACTGGAAATTTGAATGGGCAATTCTTCCAAACCATTGTAAAGACTGGAAATTTGAATGGTCAATTCTTGTCCATCTACATAGGTAATTGGCACACAATTATTAATTTTTTTTAAATGAATTGCCTGTGTTTATCTGCAATTAAGAGCGTCAATCAACGATTGTGTAAAAATGTAATTTTCTACTGCCTCCGTCCCAAATTGATTTGCAAATTTGATTTTTCTTAGTCAAACAGTTTCATTTCATTCGATTAATTAGGATGTCAATTTTTAATTATATTCTAATATATTCTAATTTGGAGTTTACAACTTTGAAAAGATTTTAATATAGTTTCTGAATATATAAATTTTAATTATTAAAAATCGAATTAATTATCGATAGAAAGCATTGACTTTTCTTATTGGTTGATCAAAGATTGTTGACTTTTCACAAAAATGTTAATTGCGTAAAAATGTAATTTTCCAATTTGAAATGGCAAACGGTGCATGCCTTATGTTCATTACTTTAGAATTTGCATTACCAAACAAGCTCTTTGTAATGGTGAAATTGGTTGCATGATTGGATCAATTGAAAACTGTTGGAATTATGGTCGAAATTGAGTATACTTCGTGATTAATTAATTAATGTAATAAAGTATAGTGGCAAAATGGCTAGCTTGGAATATACGGAGTACTATAATCTGTTTCTTTTTTAGTTCCAATTTTTTTATACTATTCACATTATCTACTTTGACTAAATTTTATTTATTAATGTATAAAATGATTTGGTTTTGAAAAATATTGCTGATTTCGTCTCATTATATAGGCAAAATTGATAAAAAGAATCTCTACTTTTACCAATTAAACAAAAATAATCCCAACTTCAAACTTTTACACTAATAATCCAAACTTCTATTCCCCGTCACTAAAATATAATAAACGAGGGCAGGGTTATCGTTTAAACAAACACCGTTAAACTCCTCTTCTCTCTTTATCTCCTTTCTCTGTTGTTGAAGAAGCGATGAGTAGTCCCGATTAATCTTTGGCCTCTCACGCAATTACTCCCTCGCCAAAAGATAATTGATTCCCAGATTTCACTATCTCTGTTCTGAATCCTTTACTTAATATATCATCTGTATTGTGTTGGAATGTGTTTGTTCTATCAGTAACATCTCAAGTGTTTTTTGCTGCTGTAGGCCTTAACCGACATTCTCCCTTCTCTAAAGGAATCTGGGCATCGTCAACGAAAAATTATTATTTATGGTTGCCCCTTGTTCGGGCCTGAGGACACCATCCGCAACGGACAAGAAACACTATGCTTGCACTTCACTTTCCCTTTGGGTTTCAGAGGGGTTGAATCTTGTCCCGATTTCATCACTATAGCAAGCGGCCATGTGTTGTTTCAGAAATTTTGAGTGACGGAGATCCAAATACTAGACTTCCCTATTGTAAAAGATGAAGATGGAGAAGAATTGAAATTGCCCAGCCTAGAGATTCCCTCAAGCGAACGGCGGTTCAGACGGAAATTTACTTATGTCTCATTTATTGTATTTCTAGCCATAGTACGAGAAGTTTGGATTAATTGTGTAAATATTTGAAGTAGGGATTATTTTTGTTTAATTGATCAAAGTAGGGATTAATATTGTCAATTTCGCCCATTATATATAATTTTTAATTTGATTCTTAAATATTGTTTACTAATAAATTAAAAATAAAGTAAGAATGATTTCGAACCACACAAACTTTATCAAATTTGATATAAAACATTCTTAGTCGGACGAATCAAAAGAAAAAATTGATCAATCTTAACAAATAGAGTACGTATTATATATTTTTTCAAATTTATAAGATAATTTGAAATTTTGTCGAATCAATCAAAATTTATGTCTTTACTATCTGAATAGGTGAGTTTATGGGCTATGTATGCCCTTATATTTGTATTTTTTTGTTCTTCTTTTATAAATGGGCAATTCTAAATACAGCCCGTCTTTTACTAAACACAGCCCAATTTACTTAATTTTACAAACTTACCCTTTAGAATTCCTAAAAAAGTTCAGAGCTATGAAAAATAGAGCAGGTCGTATCCCACATGTTGTCGCCTCTGTTTATGTACTCCAAACTATCAATGTCATCTTGAGTGAAGTTTTCTTCCAAGAGGGGCGGAGCGCCACTGGCGCCGTTAGCCAATACTTGAAGCCGCCGCTGCCATAGCCAAGTGAAATTTCCTGGCCGGCATCTTTGTCGGGGTCTGGTTTTAATAGAGCCCAGCAAGCTGCAGAGGAGGAAGGGGATGCGGTGGAGGAAGGGGGTGTCCAGCGGCATGGATGGAGGATGGAGGTAGAAGATGATGACATGCGGGGGAAGTTATGAAAAGGAAGGAGAGGGAAATCATGAAGAAGATGATGACATGCCATTTGCCTTGGAATTGGAAGTCATATTTCATTTCATAAACTAAGAAGAAGTCAAGAAGAAGAAGACTTCAGTAAAGTTTGGAGCGGGTGAGCGGGAGCTGTGTATGAAGTTTACCCGGAGGGACAAATTAAGGTAGGGATAATGGAAGTACTCCATGTTTAGGCCGCCAGGATCGGAATGCGTTCGGGTTTCTTATGTCAAAAGGCTATAGTGGGAATTAAAATTGATATTATGGAATAAGTGGCTTTGTATAGCAAAAGGAGGGCTGTCATTAGAATTCCCCTTTATAAATTTTCCCGTTATCCAAAAATAACGCTCCACAGCTCCACTAGGGCGACCCAAACCAAGGCCAGACAGCAACTGGGCGACCCAAACTAGGGCGACTCAAACCAAGCCCAATAAACAATTCGGAGTATATGATTAAATTGAAGCTCATTTCCTAGTTTCCTACCATTAGTCATTCTCACTTGAATGAATTTGTTGTGACAGTGTCAGTGTGTCACCCTCATACTATTGACGTGCAAGGACGGGCCTTATTTATTAGGACCCTTTTCGAGGATGTTTAAAGTATGAAAAGCTTCACGTATTCAATTTATAATTCAAAGTAATATTCGGTCTTTCCAGTATCCTTAATTTCAATGTTCTTAAAGCAACTAATACTTCTATTCGAAGTTATTCTGGAGTCCTTAATTAGGTTTAAATCATCCATGTTACAATGTACATGTACTACAATGGATTAGCTCTTTGATTAGTCAAAGAAGCTAATAATAATGTTTGGTAAATGGATTTTAAAATTAGCTTGTTGAGTTTGAAAAGCTGAAAAAATGGATGGTTGAAGAAGCTAATAGGGGGCAGCTTCTTCATTCGGCTGGTTCAATTTACACTCTATCAGTCATTTCGAAACAACCAATTTTACCAAACAGTTATTTATAATCAGCTAACACAACCAACCGATCAAAACAGCTAATACAACCAGCTATTAGGAAACAACTGACACAACCAGCTAACAGCAACAGCTAACAGCCATTTACCAAACAAGGCCAATGATAAAACTTGAATTGTTTCAATTCAATTTTTTTACAAAAATAAAAAATGCTCAAAACCCCATAGAGGTGGACCGGGCCCGGGCCGGGTCTTGGGCGGACACTGTTTTGGGCATTAGGCCCGGTACCGGCCCGGGTTGGTCCCTAAAATGATTAAACTTTCATTTCGTTTTTCAAGGGTTAACTTAAATGACACTCAAGCTCTTACTTTATATATCAAAATTTTATAAAAATTGAATCACTTTTTGCAGGCTTTGTAGCGATTTTAATGTAGTTTCAATTCTGAATATGTAAATTTTATTTACCACTCCGTAAAAATAGTCCGAGTTTTCAATTCTGATCAAACTTCGTAACCCGCGATTAGAAGTTTTATTAGGGACGGAGGTAGTAATATTTATTAAAATATAAAAATCATTATAATAAATACTTTATTCTATTAATATATCATATGTCCTTTAACGTAATTTCATATTATCTGGACATTTTTTCAGCTCTTTTTGTCAAACGGGTTTACTCCGTTCAGCTAGCAATTCAAATTCGACATTTCATATTGCAGTTCCAGACAATAGTTTCTGATTCAAACAATAGTATCTAATTCAGACATAGCCTAAGTGTCCTTAAATTAGCTAGGGAATAACCCATACAAATGTGTCTTTACCGAATATCGTAATTTGTCTTTTTTGTCCTCCATTTCATTCCTTTTATATACCTAGTATACTAGTATTGGTAGTATACATCATTTGATGTCTGAAGTAGTGAAGCCTCCTCTTCAAACATGGGCTCGACCACCATGATCGAGGGTAAGTATATACTACGTATATATAACGCATGCACGTACATCACATATTTACAGTATAACTGGATCACGGTACTAGGCAATTCGGAATGTTTTGTCGCGTAAATGAAACATTTAATAATAAAATAATATATAAAATCAATCAAATAATTATTTGTATAGTAATGCCCTGCATGAATATGCATGTATTGATGAATAACACACTGATCCGAGTAGTAAAACATTACGAGTATAACCCAATATGTCTGGACAATGGTAGGACATATATTAGTCTTGGTCTCCTGCAGATTTCAATGAATTGAGTGACGCAGACCATAATGTTTATCAAATATAAGTAACAAGCAGTTGCATCATCCACTTAGATTACATGCTAGGGATACCTATTTAGTCAATTTAATCTATGTTAGATTTTTATTGTACAAAATTCATGTAGGTCAACGTGCATTGTTATCTTAATTAAATATAATAAAAGACTAGAATAAGAACACCACAAAATCGAGATATCATATTTATAAGTCATTAAATATTTAAAATTTTACATACACAAGCGTTACTATACACATCCCCTATGCTCCATGGTGGGTGAGAGGGGCGAGATTTACATAGTTACTATACACATCCCCTAAGTATTTATCAAGATACAATTAAATAAAATCATATTATTGCATATATATAATATTCTGAGTGAAAAACATTATATGATATTTATATAAGGCCGGAGAGAAGAAAACATATTATATTTATTAGGACATGAACTAGGTAACACAAAATGTCATGACCAATAAATTGCTACAATAAAAAATTTGGTACTAAATTTCTTAGAAATTAAGAAAAATGACCGATTTCACAAATAACAGTGTGATTTTAAGGCATTTAAATAAAATAAAAAATTTAGATTATTACTGAAAAGTCATGAGTAAAAGTTGAACTAGATTGTCTTATTGTCTAGATGTATGAATGTATCTAATAAACCATAAACATATACTCCGTACTACGTATATTTTGTTACTATTCGATATTTTTGAGTGCGACAATACGACATTGGTAATATGTATTACCAGATGTTAACTTATTATAGATTATATAAGTACTTCATCCGTTCTTGCAACATTGTGATATTTGCACTATTCACAGACCTTACTTTGATCACGATTTTCTACTAATATGCATAATTAAATTATTACGTATAAAGTGTTATTGAATTCCTATCAATGTGAATTTTCAAAATATCAACTTTTTATAATGTTTACTAATACATAATTAAATATAATTACAATCAAAGTTATGCATTGGCAAACGTGGAAGTCAAACTGTTGCAAGAATTAAAGAACGGGGGATAATACTCCATCCGTCCCGTTGGGATGTTCGCGGTTTGACCTACACACATATTAAATAAATAAACTTACTAGGGGGTAAATTTCACTGTTTTGACACTGTTTGACACTGTCGTTTCAACACTATTTAGCACTGTTTGACATTGTTTTGCACTGTTTGACACTATTTTGATTTAGGATAACTTTCCATTTAGGGAAAGAGGAACTTCTTTTTGGGACATCCAAAAAAGGAAAGCGGGAACATCCCAACGGGACGGAGGGAGTATATGTTTATAAATAATTATGGTCAAATGTCACTTAAACGGTCGTAAAGTCAAACTGTGACTTTAATTGTATATATGTACGGCTCTACTTCTATGTCTACTTCTCTTTTGATTTTTGAAGTATAGAAAGGCCAGACCAATGTATGTAGATGTTTCATATTTTACCTCAACACCTAGCTAATGGCAGACAAATTAATTTTCAGGTGTCATACACAATTTTTTTTATATAATTATATTAATTTGCTTATCATGTCATGCAAATGCAATTAACAAGTTTGATCCATAATTTACACAATGCATCAGAAATTTTCACATAACGTATATGCATCACGGGAAAAAAAGATTTAACCCAAAGTTAATGTTTTGATAATTCTGTGCGTTATGGCAAAATAATCATTAGCCTAGTCCATTTATTAGTTATAAAATGTGATATGGAAGTGAATAAGATAACAAGATTAATATTTGAAACGAAACTATTTATACGTACGTGTAAGAAGGTGTGTTTTTGGGAAATGCAGCATTAATGTTATGTATACTTATTAAATCTTTAGTATAGTATGTATCCTTTACGGCAGCTGTGGGCAAAACGGTTTAGTTAAATCGAATCGACTATATTAAGCCGAATTCAGCCGAATCAAAATCGAACTATCTGTAATTTGATTGAGTTTGGTATAGTAGCATTTCTTTCAAAACCTTCATGCATGTATTTTTAAATAATATCAATACATCCAAACTAAATCAAACCACAACATAGTACGGTTTTTGTTTGATAATCAAATTCGTTTCAAATTGATCAAATTGGAAACCA